ATTATCACCTTGACCTTGCATATATTGACCTTAATTATACTGACAACACTCAGTCAAATCACAGTGAACATGTTTTTACATAATCCTTCAATTTAGGGCTACTATATTGTTCACACCACAGACACTCACGCATACACCGACATCCATATTTGTATTTTGAAAATTGACCTCTCTGTACAACCTTGACCTGAGAAATTTGCATGCAACATTACCCCTCATAATGGTTAACATTTATCCCAATGCTTCATTAAAATCCCTCAATGCCTGTAGAAGTTTTGCTACATACTACAAGTATTTTACATTGACCTTTAAGTGTAGCCTTGTCCATTGATCTTAAGTCTTGGTTCATTTGCCCGACACTTCATTTCATGGTTGTAAATGTTTGTATCAAGATATACTATAATGCATGTAGCTATATGCTCCCGACAAAATCTGGATATTTCATCATCTCTTGTGACCTTTGCCATGCATGTATTGACCATGATAATGCTTGTACTAAAAGTCTCATTTTTGCGAACATTTTTCAATGTAACACATCAATTCTTATATTTCAATCTGATCTTTGATCTCTGTGTGACCTGACTTTAGCCACATGGATAAATATTTGTCCCATGCAACAGTTAGATTTCACAATTCATCAAGTTTTGCTTAGGACAAGCATTTTCTTTTAACCACTTAGTGTGACCTGAACCTTTGACCTCTAATTTATGCAAGCGACACTCTGTCTCCTTCCATGTATACTAGCATATAAGATATGCAAAACTGAATGCGGCCCGGAAGCCAACCATATACTTAAGACAATCCCATTATGCGTGCCTTTTTTTATAAACAGACATATAAATATGGATCATAATTCTGTCAAAAATAATAAAATTGCATGTATGAAAACCTGAAATGTGACAAAGTGGTTTGAGACAATTATTCTGCAAAAGTTTGGTTCTAATCCTTTCGAAAACATAGAGAAATTGCTTATCCATTTCCCCAAGCCAGTCCCTTCAGCACCCAACTGACATTGTCTAATGTCAATCTAATATATAGAGGAAATTGAATGAGTGTATTTAGTTTTATACTGAATTTATTGAACGAGTTGAATAAAATTATATTATGCGAGCCTCTGGCGAGCTTATTATTATTTAATTGAACAAGTTCAATAAATTCAGTAATGAACTTACAGTCATTTAATATTCTACTTATCATATACCAAAAATAAAGACGGTTATTTTTCATTGATGCGTCTATAGAATAATTTTCTGGCATTTTGCGCATCTTTACGCTATGTTTATTAATTTTATAACATACAAAGCAAATGACGTCATGTCCAAATATATGCACAGCTGTGCAATACCATATTTACAGTTGCAAAAACAGCACGGGTATGTGATAAAAAAAATCTAACAACCATTTTTTATTTATAAATAGCTTATTAAATTAGTACAATATATTCAGACTGACCAACTGCTATTCAGCTCACAGGGACCCAGCACAGTGTTGGGATAGTGTAAACAAGAGGGCCATGATGGCCCTGAGGTCGCTCACCTGTATATAGGCCCCCCAGCCCCCCCCCCCCCCCCACGTTGCAGGGCCAATTTAACCGAAGGGATTTTATTTGCACAAACTCGGAAGACACTCATAAGAAGATGTTTCATGCTAAACATCTAAGCTCTAGCTCATTGGACTTTATTGAAAGAAGATTTTTTTTAAGTTTTTACTATACACATATAGTTAAAAACAATGACACCCCTGGGTCCGGGCCAGTTTTGACCCCAGGGCTTTTATTTGAACAAACTTTGTAGACACTTACTAGAAGATGTTTCATGCTTAATATCTAAACTCTAGCTATTTGGGTTTTTTCAAAGAAGATTTTTAAGTTTTTGCTATACACATATAAAGAAAATCAATGACCCCCGGGGTGGGGCCAATTTTGACCCCAGGTCTTTTATTTGAACAAACTTTGTAGACACTCACTAAAAGATGTTTCATGCTAAATATCTTAACTCTAGCTATTTGGTTTTTTTCAAAGAAGATTTTTTAAGTTTTTGCTATACACATATAAGGAAAATCAATGACCCCTGGGGCGGTGCCAATTTTGACCCCAGGGCTTTTATTTAAACAAACTTGGTAGACACCTATTGGAACATGTTTGATGCTAAATATCTTAGCCATAGCTCTTTGAGTTCTTTAAAAGAAATATTTTTAAGTTTTTACTATATGCATATAGGGAAAATCAATGTTCCCCCGGGGCGGGGCCAATTTTGACCCCAGGGCTTTTATTTGAACAAACTTGGTAGACACTTATAACAACATGTTTCATGCTAAATTTCTTAGCTTTAACTCTTTTGGTATTTTAAAAGAAGTTTTTTTAAGTTTTTACTATATGCATAAAGGGAAAATCAATGACCCCCTGGGGTGGGGCCAATTTTGACCCCAGGGCTTTTATTTGAACAAACTTGGTAGACACCTATTACAACATGTTTGATGCTCAATATCTTAGCCATAGCTCTTTGAGTTCTTTAAAAGAAGATTTTTTAAGTTTTTACTATATGCATTTAGGGAAAATCAATGACCCCCCAGGGCGGGGCCAATTTTGACCCCAGGGCTTTTATTTGAACAAACTTGGTAGACACCCATTAGAACATGTTTCTTGCTAAATATCTTAGCTGTAGCTCTTTTTGTTCTTTAAAAGAAGATTTCTTAAGTTTTTACTATATGCATTTAGGGAAAATCAATGACCCCCCGGGGCGAGGCCAGTTTTGACCCCAGGGCTTTTATTTGAACAAACTTGGTAGACACCTATTAGAACATGTTTCATGCTAAAAATCTTAGCTCTAGCTCTTTTGGTTCTTTAAAAGAAGATTTTTTAAGTTTTTACTATATGCATATAGGGAAAATCAATGACCCCCGGGCGAGGCCAATTTTGACCCCAGGGCTTTTATTTGAACAAACTTGGTAGACACTTATTAGAAAATGTTTCATGCTAAATATCTTAGCTTTAACTCTATTGGTTCTTTAAAAGAAGATTTTTTAAGTTTTTACTATATGCATATAGGGAAAATCAATGACCCCCCTGGGGCGGGGCCAATTTTAAACCCAGGGCTTTTATTTGAACAAACTTGGTAGACACCTATTAGAACATGTTTGATGCTAAATATCTTAGCCATAGCTCTTTGAGTTCTTTAAAAGAAGATTTTTTAAGTTTTTACTATATGCAAAAAGAGAAAATCAATGACCCCCCGGGGCGGGGCCAATTTTGACCCCAGGGCTTTGATTTGAATAAACTTGGTAGACACCCATTAGAACATGTTTCATGCTAAATATCTTAGCTGTAGCTCTTTTGGTTCTTTAAAGAAGATTTTTTAAGTTTTTACTATATGTATATAGGGAAAATCAATGACCCCCCGGGGCGGGGCCAATTTTGACCCCAGGGCTTTTAATTGAACAAACTTGGTAGACACTCACTAGAAGATGTTTCATGCCAAATATCTAAGCTGTAGCTCTTATGGTTTTTTAAAAGAAGATATTTAAAGTTTTTTCTTTCGGTTGCCATGGCAACCAGAGTTCTGCATGGAATTAAATTCTTTGAACAATTTTTAAAGGTGACCACCAAAGGAACATTCCTGTGAAGTTTGGATGAAATTGGCTTAGTGGTTTATGAGGAGATGTCATTTAAAGTAAAAGTTTACGGACGGACGGACGCGAAAGGACGCCAGACGAAAAGCGATCACAAAAGCTCACCCTGTCACTTTGTGACAGGTGAGCTAAAAAATAATTTTTAAAAAATATATATATTGTATATATAATAGATTATATATAAAGTATATTTTTTTTTCTAGAATAACTTTTTTACACTATCCCAACACTGTGCCTGGTCCCTTTGATTCAGCTTGCTTCTCATTTTCAAATTTTGTATCACAACAAAGAACAGTTTAAAATTTGTAGCAAATGCATAATTTAAATTTTGCAATGTTATAAAAATTAACGTTAATGTGATTATAACATAATCTTCTTTACTTATAACCTCTGTCATAATGAATTATCTTTTATAACTAACTTGATGAAAAGAACTGTTAATATTGTACATGCATATCTTTACTATCAAATTGCACAGCCTGGTTTTAACATAGATCATTTCCATAAGGATATCTAATACATACAGTATAAGTCACTGCCACCAACCAGCTTTTACTGATTAAGACCGCAGGTTGTAAGACCACAGGTTGTCAGTCTGTGCATTATTTCAGGCACAAACAAGAAACTAAGTAGAACCACCGAGGGTCTATAAGATAGCTGGACAGGTTTTTGCATAAAAGAATTCACAGACGCTTACATGGCTCAAACCTAGTGGTGAGAGGCAAGTGATTTGAAGTCAAAAACCATTTCACCTTGGCCACTGACCCCTTTTAATACATACAATGCATGGGTGCAAGTTAAAAATTTTGAAAAACCTGAACTATTTGTTTGGGGGCCAGGGGGCCGCAAGGGCCCCCGGTGGGTCCAGGGCAACGCCCGGCCAGGGGTCCGGGGGGCCTCCGGCCCCCGGAAGCTCCTGCATTATAGCACATTTGAAGGCCTAAAATGCAATTTCCTTGAATGATTACATGCCAGATAACATACATACTGTAGTATAGTATTTTCACGTAAATATTGCTCACATAATTATTTTTTTCTTTTCTCTCTCTTTTTCTTAATTATATAAACAAAAACATTTCAACACAAAAAGAAATGTGCTTTCATATATTGGTTCCACTATTTAATATGGTTCCAACAGTAAAGAGTGATAAAACAAACCAATATATAAATAAATTGAAAATTGAGTTGATTTGTACCGAGTTAACGTTTTAATTAGGGCTGAGCTGACCCTGATTCCATACAAACATTAAATTGTTTTCAAAAAAGATAATTAAAACAAGCCTGGTTATGTTTCACAGTAAGTTTGTTTTTCATATGGTTTGGATCGTCTGCGTGCATTTAATTCTTTTTTTCCCGCTGGATCCATACTTTTTCATTGGATGATTATAATTAGCGCGCCAATCTAAATCGTTGTAATAAATTCACGGATAAAATTGCATGCCGGGATTAATAATACATGTTTTCGTAAACATCTCGTATATCTTCGGAAACAATCGGCAGTTTCCGCGAAAGTTTACTATTGACGCTTCGAGAACAACCGTGAGCATCCGTATGTTATATAGCGTTCTCGATTATGAACTTCTAATCGGTGGTACTTCTCAGTTTGAAAGAGTAGACCCGCACCATACCCCTCCAAATATCTCAACGGATTTACGTGATTTGCAAAAATGATCCCTCCGGCACGTGAAAAACCGGAACTTCCGGCACATGCCGGAAAACTTGCACCCATGACAATGTACATGAATAGTATTATTAAAGCACAGTCATAAAAATGTTTTCTAAAAATGTCCCATGTAACTAATCACTTGAGGTAATCCTTAACAAGAATAAATCTTCAAAGCATGGAGGTGAATAGAGGCTCTTCACGTAACCTTGAACTTCTTCTCAGGTGGTTCTCCCTCAGATTTTACTTTAGATCCCTTTGACAACCATGCCGACATGAATGCGCTACCAGCAGACTTTTTTGGTTTGCTGCAAGAAGACGGAGAAGAGAGCATTCTTTAATACAGAAAAATACTTCTAACCCTATACACATGCATATGTATTTTTTCTTTATTTATTCTGTTGTTTGAAATTTAATATCTAAAATGTTATTTCATGCTAACATCATTTTGTCTTGTTTTAAGTTTCAATGTTGAACTCTGCTTAAGCCAGTGCTAGGGGCTTCGGATGGTAGCTTGGAAATATCACTACTATCCATCAACAGGCTCAATTAAACAGAACCTGCAATATTTTCAAATTTGTCATTTTGGCCGTTCTTTAGGTATTTTGTTTTTCTCTTTTTTTAAGTCGAGTAAAGGTCACATGTCAGATTTTGAAATTTATTGACGGAGAATCTCTCCTTGCATTACTTCAGGCATGAACGTTTAGAACCAGTGATCTTCTGTAACTTAGTAAATGATTAGCTTCCAATAATAAAAAGATCTAATATCTGCGGTAGGTAATGAACCCACAGAGGTTAGCGGCAAATGAGACCCCTACTCCATATTCTAAAAAAAATTCACAATGTAAGGGATGTATTTCCTTAAGCTATGACATACCTTGGATCAATTTTTTTCACACATTCTGGTGTATTATTCCTGGAATTGTTCACCACACTAGATACTGGATGACACTCTACACTTGTAATAGCATGTATCAATTTGGATGCCTATAATTCAATTCAATTTATTTATTGTATAAAACATGTAACATATTTATAAAACAAACCTATGATAAATACCACCTCTCCCAAAAAAGCCCATTCACAAAGAGTAACTTATCAATTACTGCTAGCAGCAATTCATATTCTTTTTATCAAGTAAAGGGAGATAATACATATTCCTGGAGACAAACTGGGTACTGCACTGACTCTGACTGGTCTTTCCAGACATGTGTAACAGTTTAGCATCCCTCAAACTAAAGGAGAACAACAGTTTAAATAAGCATTGTATTAAGTGTATTAATCAATTCCATAACACTTAATCTTAACCTTTAACCTGTTGAATTTGTGTCATGGGCTAGCCAATGTTTTGAATTTGGACATTCCATTCTAATTCTAGTAGGTTAGATCCATTTTAATTTAAGAGGCTTGAATATCAGAGCATTCCATTCTAAATTTAAGAGGTTCAATCCATGTTAATTAAAAACGTTTCAATATTGGAACATTCCATTCTAATTCTAAGAGGTTCAGTGATAAAACAAAAGCCTGGAAAAGATATTGTAGAATATTCAAATGTTCAAAAACTGGGACAAAATTCATGCCAGAGTTATTGGCCTTGGACAGTGAACTAATTATGCTCTCAAACAAGTGTGTGAATTATCAGCCCATTCTCTTTACCAACTATTATTTAAGTATGATGCAGACACCTGGACGAGTACAATAGATCTCCCTATTCTTTGAATAGTCGAGCTAAAAAATAAAAAATAAAACAATGATGCATGATTACTCTTGACAAAGATAAAGGACAATCTTTAGATATGGTTGCATGTGTAGAAGTTAAAGATGCAAGAAAAAATACCTTAAAAAGCCTGAATTTAGCAATATTTTCATCAGTTCTATGAATAAACAGAGAGCTTACATGTACATGACTGTAAACTTTAACGCACATGGTTCAAAGTTATAGTTGTTGATTTTCTTTAGTGGGGGGAGGGGTTGTAGGGGAGGAGAATTATTCTTTACTTGACATGACTGATTTTGCTTAGGAATACCATTTAATATTCAAATCATGAATTAGTTACTTGTTAAGTCAAGCCAACACATCGCCATACCTTATTAAGAGGGACATCTCCGAAATTTAACCATTCTTCTATCTCCTCTTCTGTCTGCAAAATAGCCTGAAATTTAAACAATCTTATAATAATCACAATTAATGGTCATACACAACCAATTAAAGGCAAATTATCACCTAGAAACAAATATTTGTTTTCCTTCTTTAAAAGAAGTAATTTACACAAACTTTTTTCCACATGCGACAAACTACTACTCCTGCATGATTTCTGGAACAGCAGTGTGAGGCAAATGACCATTCTAAATACAAACTAGAACTGTGTCCAAAGGACACGGATGCCCCCACTGACAACATATATATGGTATATAGTGAAAAAATCAACAAAGGGCCATAATTCTGTTAAATTTGGTTGCAGCAAAAATTCCTTCCTTTACTACCATTTACACATTAAGGTTGTTCATCCCTGGAAGTTTAAGCAAAATCTACCATCCGGTTTAAGAGGAGTTGGGTTCACAAAATTTCTATATGGTATATAGTGAAAAAATCAACAAAGGGCCATAATTCTGTTAAATTTGGTCGCAGAAAAAAAAATCCTTCCTTTACTACCATTTACACATTAAGGTTGTTCATCCCTGAAAGTTTAAGCAAAATCTGCCATCCGGTTTAAGAGGAGTTGCGTTCACAAAATTTCTAAATGGTATACAGTGAAAAAATCAACAAAGGGCCATAATTCTGTTAAATTTGGTTGAAGCAAAAATTTCTTCCTTTACTACCATCTACACATTAAGGTTGTTCATCCCTGGAAGTTTAAGCAAAATCTGCCATCTGGTTTAAGAGGAGTTGCGTTCACAAAATTTCTACATAGTATATAGTGAAAAAATCAACAAAGGGCCATAATTCTGTTAAATTTGGTCGCAGCGAAAATTCCTTCCTTTACTACCATCTACATATTAAGGTTGTTCATCCCTGAAAGTTTAAGCAAAATCTGCCATCCGGTTTAAGAGGAGTTGCGTTCACAAGATTTCGGGACGTACGGACAGACAGACGTACGGCGTGACGGACGGACAAGTGCAACGCTATATGCTTCCACTCTGTGGGGGCATAAAGATCAAAGGTCATAGAGAAATTTCATCTTGTGCCATGTAAGCTGACCTGGCTATATCCTGGCAATAACATTTAGACAATATAAGTTATAAATATTAATAACAAATTTATAATACAGCAAGCATCTTTTTTATTTAAAGAGAAAAATTAACCAATGAAAAGCGATGTTACAATCGTGCAGTATTATAACAGTTAATGTCCAGCCCAGGCAATATAAGACATTATCACATAAACCATGGCGCAGGAGTGTAATAAAGCCAAGTCATAAAAACGATATTACACTAGTGTTATAACACTTGATGTGACGTCATTTGCGCTATATATAAACATAGCGTTAAAGCGTGCAAATGTTAGCGCTACACTATAAGCGTGTCAATGAAAAATGACTCTTTTTAACTGTTTACCATTCTATGTTATATATGTGATAAATAGAATATTATATTAGTGTAGATTCAATACTAAATTTATTGAACTTGTTAAATAAAACAATATTATTCAACTCGTTCAATAAATTTATTATTAAACCTACACTCAATCAACTTCCTCTATTTATTAGTCATTATTGTCTTTATGCTTTGGAAAATAAATAACAATAACGATTATATTTACAGGCATTCTGTGATGTATCCAGGACATTGCTGGTGAACTTTCAACTGTAATAACACTGTATGAATACACCGGCTCACTGTCCTGTAACACAATTAGATAAAACTATCGAGCTATGTGAATAATAATGTAATAAATTTCTTAAACTCTTAACCATACTGAATTAAATTTGTACTTGAAAAGTTGACTGCATGTTGTAGTTTAAGAAAACTCAGACTGGTCACATTGTCGTGTGCATATATTCAAAATAACTTGTTGTATCTTCCTGAACAGGGAACATGACAACTTGGCAGCTAAACTGTTAGAATAAGATGAAGACCTCAGGCACCCTTTGGGCCCCATATGCACTATTTCCTGATTTCATTGCTATGAATAGAACCATAGATCAATCCTTAAGATAGGTGAATAGTACCTCAAAAAAAAAATTCATGTGAAGGGTAGGATTTCCATTGGTAAATGATTCACTAAAAGGAGTAGTGGCATAGTGCTTTAAGGTATCTACGTCTCCACCCAGGGATTGTGAGTTCAAACCTTACTAGGTTTATGACATTGTTTTTTCGCAGTCTGATCAGGATCCATGCTGTTTGCTATGAGTTTCTGTACTTGTAATAGGGTTTGTAAACGAACAGCATGGATCATGATCAGACTGCGCGGATGCGCAGGCTAGTCTGGATCCATGCTGGTCGCAAACGCATTATGTTGGTTTTGTCATGACGCGGCTCAAATTAACTTTTATCTTTTTCTCACAGTTTAGATTAAATAAATAATGACTAAATATTAATATTTAATATTAAAAGCTCCGACCATGCAATGATTTACCTAGGCATTATTAATAAATCCCTTGTTAATCTGCTGTGTACTTTTATTACACTCATCCCAATCCCAGAAATATACAGTTTCAGTTGGGGTTTTTTCCCTTCTAAAAAACATAAGATCAAACTACAAAACAACAGTTTCTCTTCATGGGCCTTTGTTTACAAATTTACAATTAAAAAATTGCTATATTGAAACAAAGCAACATACCCCTGGTGGTTTCCATACATCAAAAACACCAGCCATTGTCAGTAACCTTGGCAATGAGGAATTCCCTGAAATGACAATATTCAACTTAGCATAAAAAGTGATATCAGTGACACCTAACTTTTTTTCTAAAAATATTTCTGTCAACATCAAATTCTATTAAATGCTATTGAACAGTTTTCAGTTTTAATTCTGCCTGTATGTCTATATGAAAACTCCTGAAGACATCCTTAAGCTGTTTAAATTGTTTAATTTAATGCTTATTAGCTTCTAGCTACCATTTTTCACTCAAGCATAATACAACACCAAAATAATAATACAACTTAATAATATCCCTTTTTAATGCAATGAAAAATAGATTCTTTCATTTTAGCATGATTCTATTATATCTCCCTTTATAGCATGTCCCTATTTAACCCTTGACCCGCGGAATTGTTTTAAATGGACTTGCCTAGCTTACAGTTTTGGGACATTCTATAATTAATTTTGGGGGTATCAAGATAAAAAATTTAACATTAGTGAGTGTAGATCCTGGTCACATTGTGCTGATATGCAGGCTGACCTGGCTCTATACAGATGGCTATGGCTAATCACTTTCGGTTCCGGGGAATTAAGGGTTAAAGATACCGTTACCACATAAACATTATGTTTTGAGCTAGAAAACCATCTTGAATGTAAGAATGAGAAGCTTTAATAAAATCAATTTCTGTACCATTAGACTCTTCCTGTGTGGCATCTACTTCTTGTTTAACACACTCCTCTTTTACTGTCACCTCATTCTTTATATCTGCATCAACCGTTAGTTTCGTTGTCTCTTCAGAGTCCGCTTCCTTTTTCACTTGGATCATAGTGTCAGATTTTAAGTCAGGTTCTATTTCAGAATTGTTCTCAGTCCTAACAACTGCTTTAATGTCTGATTCACTTTCAGCATTTACTTCAGATTTAACCTCCACTTTGACCTCTGACTTGACCTCTGACCTTAATGTACTTTTGTTATTTTTTGGGAGGTAGATATAATACGGTTGCTTTGAGTCTTTCCCCCTTTTCCACTCAAAGAAGCTGTTGAGATGAGAAAAATAAATCCAATTTCATCACATTAAAATAATATTTACAACTATCAATATCAAACATACATGTATAAACTACATGGGGCCTTTGTGGCCAAGTGGTTATGGTCAATGACTTCAAATCACCTGCCTCTTACTGCTGTTGGTTCGAATCACGACAGGGTCTACCGATTCTTTCATGTAAAAGAGCTATGCAACTAGCTTACCCGAGGTCGATGGATCTTATTAGGTTTCAGGTTGTGCCTGAAAGAATACACCTAAAATTTACCTCCCAATTTTCCAAATGATCTTTATAATGTTGGTGGGAATTAAGTACTCAAGACAACCCACTCCAAAATGGTTTGTATCTTTGCTAAGGGTTCTGTATTTTAAAAGCCATGAACTGGCTATTAAAATCTAACATTTTAAACACATACCTTGTACATCCAGAAAGCATCTACTAAATGTTGTACCATTTTTCATAGAATGATTCCATGATTATGTTCATCAACATTACATTAATCTAAGACATCATTACAATTTTGAGATATTAACCATCTTTACTCTGCTGATTTAGCCTGTGCATTCTACCTAGGCTCTTCATGTTGGGAGCTCAATTTTTATATTTTGATATTGAAATCCCTTAAAATTTGAATGGACTGTTCAAATTTAAATGAGGGCAAATCCTTTGCATAAATTCAGTAGGTTAAGGGTTAAAGAAATTTACAGAGATAATACCCTTCAGCAAGAATGACACATCTTCGGCCTTTTTGAAGTGGAACTTTATATGTCATTTTCTCCAGCATGCTTTCAGCCCGACAATTATTTGTCTCATACGATTTTTCATTTGCCGATCCCTTGTGCCATGAGGGGATCAGTCCCCACTGCATCGGTTGAATGACACGCTGACTTGAACCCTTGTCCTTGAAATGATCGGAGGACAACAGCACTGGCCTGCAGGAAAACAAACAAAAATTGAAAAACTGATTTATATTATCTGAACATTCTCATCACATTTAAGCATGTATACTGATTCTTAGAGACACTATTCTTTGATTTCATTTTGACTTAACTGAAGTCACATTCTGCCCCAAAACAAATGAATGTATGTTTCTTTTTTACAAAGGGATTACATGAGTTTATTAACAGTTAAATAATGGTTTTAGAACATGGTAGATGATATTAATCACCTGAAGAACATAGAGCTGAAAGTGAAATTATTAAGAGTTTGGAAGAATTTAATTTTATCTGAACCGCATTAATTTTCATTTGCAAATTACAAATTTTATATTATTATATGCATATAGATCTGACTGCAACTCATCTAAGTACACATAACCTACTCACGTATGTGCACCTGGAGCTATGTTGTAGGAAGGGAAATAATTCTTGCCATTAGGCGCATCTCTCCAATCTGGTTTCTGGCGCTTCCCTTGTTTGTCTTTGAAATTGCAAGCATTTTGCAAGTCACAAGGAGCCAGAGCACTGACAAGGAAGGAAAATATATATATATGTACTGTACAAATAAATATGTGTAAAAATAAATATCAAAGAAAAAATCTATTCTAAACATATCAGCAAAGTATTATCAATGTGGAGTACATTACATACGAACCAAGGGATGTTTACTAGTAATATTTATATATAAAGTACAATAACAGGGTTTTTTTCCAGGATTTTGGGAACACGACCCAAACCCATGAAATAGGGAATTTCAGCAATGTTTTGATAATAATTGGGGAAAAAATGCATGATTTAAATTTTGCAATTATTGCATGAATGTAAAGAATCACTGTCTAGGATGGCATCTTCAAACATTAGAGCACCATAACAGTGAAGAAGCCGTTACTTTCAAAGCTTTTTGAATTTGTTATTCAATATTTTTATTTTTTCAACTTTCAATTGGGAATTTCTGCCTGTGGAATGGGAAAATAATACACTATTTTCAGCTGGGAATATGACCAATAACGCCTATAAAATAAGACAAATTTATATATATATATATATATATATATATATATATATATATATATATATATATATATATATATATATATATTTCTTTTGACAGGTTGAAATATCTGGAAACTTTATTTTATATCAAACTATTTATCAACTACTTCTTTATTTCTCTTTTTTATAAATCAATCAAACTAAAAAAAGTAAATTTTATACACGGATAGTTCACAGATGTCTTTCATTGAAACAAAAAGTCTGCAGTCAAAGTACACTAAAATATAAAACCATGTGTGTTTAAAGAAATGGTATCAATAACAAACTGTCATGGGTCGAATTATCTTGGGATCGAAATCTGTTTCCTATAATTGCTAACATTCATCGTGATTAAAATATTTCGAAATTAATCGTTAAAGCAAAAAAAGACATCATATGATACAATGTTATTTTTGCACAAATGCTTACCATGCTGTTCTACCGCACATGATTATGCTTTGCCTTAATTGGTATCGTCTAATTGTTGTTTATTTTTGTGAGCAATGAACCGTGGAAGCATGAGCTTTCCCGCCATAATATGGGATACACTATTCTCCGGCCCAGTTGCTTACGGTCTGCGGTCCTTCCCGGTCTATTTCGACACATCTTCTTGGTACAATAATGGCTACGTTCATTTATGACACGTTATGGCCGTGCATGGGGAGGGAGGGGGTAAAAGAAAAATGTGATAGGCTACCCAAGCTACTCAATCCACCAGGGTCGACCCTGAAACCACTAAGGAAAAAAACTTTTAACAGTGATTAAAAAAGTGCAAAAAAGTAACACCGTAAGCCCTTAAGACTTAAATATGTACAGACAAAATTGTTGTGCAGAAGGTTATAATGTTACTCAGGTTAAATTCAGGATACAAGATAAAAGTAGTATGTATGATGTGATGTAACTAAGGATGAACACTGATGCACACACCGCAGACCTAAATCCTGAGATCGTGTCAGCGTTAACTACATGTATACGATGGCGGTGTGTTCTATATTGAACAACTGTTCTTGGAAAGAATGAAAATTTGTAGTAATCAACTATGCTAGTAGGTATCTGATATGCCATGCGAAGATGAAGGCGTGTTTGCCTATTGAGTAAGTGCATGGAGTGAGATAATGAGTGATATTGATATCAACATGTTCATTAATTTACTATCCTATAGAATTAAAGAATAAGTCTACATCGTTGTCTTCTTCATTGCAAAGATCGAGTTCCATTTTAAGTCTCGAATTATATTTGAGACTGAGCCTGGGACTATATGCTGTAATTATTAGTCACAAATCTAGCAGGTTGTCTTTGGACATTTTTAATTTTATCATGCAATATCCTTCTGATGATAAGGATGCCATACACAAGAGCAATATTCTAAAGTTGATCTAACAATGCTGTTATATGCTGCTTCTTAAATACAAGGTTTGGAGGGATGTATGTTACGTTTTACGCTGTCTAAGCTCTGGCTGGCTTTATTAGAGATCTTATTTACACGAGATGACCAGCTCAATGTTGAACTTATTTCTACACCTAAGTAGGTCGCCTGGTCGACAACTGACAGAGGCTGATTGTGAAGTGTATAAACAGCTTTTATTGGTTTGCGATTTCTCGCTTTATGCATGATATAACATTTACTAATGTTAAAAAGACATGTTCCATTTCCGATTCAAAAATGATAAACAATCTAGATCTTCCTAAACCTGTATCATGGTATCAGCCAAAGACTTCACAGATCTGTAAATAACGTCAGTCATCTACAAAAGGCGGACATTTGACTTTAAACATGCAAGTAAAATATATTTACTGGCCCGATCTGTTCCAAACTTCGAATATATATTATTTGTATAAATGAGTTGATGTTTAAATGTGCCAAGGTGTTGTTATAACAGGGGGTCGAACGTACAGAAGTTCGATAATTTTTTAAGCGATGTGAAATGGTACGATACCCAGTAATGGCGGGTTTTAGAATGTTAGTGAGTATATTTTAAATTGCAATTTAATTTTGTGTGGATCATGTGGGGCTCTGACCTACACATATTTTCTCGAAATCATAGAAGTTTAGGTTCAGTAGTAAAAAGGTTATTGAAGGTAAATTGGCAGTAACTGGTTTTGTGTCGGTGAAAAGGTCTTAGATTAAAACTCATATCGTGAATGTTAGTTGTATTTCTACTTACAACTTATGTAGATATTCATTTTTGAGTTGCAATGCAAATACGTTTGTGTAAACATAATATACTCGTATATTCCTAATATTTATGTGAACGATGGATTTTGGTACAATAAGATAACTGTACGTACGCTACAAAATGTTAGATAATTTTGCCAGTGCTAATAATAACTCGAAACTATATACCATAAATGAGCTTCTTTTATTGACTTAAGACCTTGCTTAAAATATGTCGGTGTTTTTACCTTTTTTTTCTTTTCTTTTTTTAGTTGGAGGCATTTACCTTGCTTATACTTGTAAATACAGTGCTCACATAATTATGTTTCCTTTTTTCAAGAATTAACTTCTATTTGATCTCAGATTGTTGTGATAATTTTTTGATCACTATGTAGATTTTCTCTTCTTTCTATACTATTACTGAAGAAAATAACTTCAAATAATATGCAGTTAATTGAAGTGCAAAACAGAAATTTCATTTGACAATATTTATTTAACTCCCATTATTTATGTCTTACACTTGAGCTTTTTATGTATTGAATAGGTAAAATATCTATCATTATGTACATAATTTTCCCATCTTATTTAATTGTTTTTACTTTGTAAAATAGTTTAGAATCCATGAACTTGATGTCAGAGCACCTGGAAAAGGAAAAAATAAGTGTTTTATGTCTGTTTGGAGAACAGAAACGTCAATGGGAGTGCAATATGTATATAGAAAGTGTCGACGTAGCCCAGTCGCCAGATTGTTAGGTTTAAGACAAATTCGCTTGCTACTTATTTCATCAAAAGAAAAACTTGATAGTCTTTTATAATCTATATGAAACAGATATCTTAAACAATTGTAAACATGAAAACAAGGGAGCTATAATGTGTATATCCATATGGATAGTTTGCAGATCGAATGTACAATTTCGTGATGCTAAATCTAATTTGCTGTTTGTATATATTGTACATGTAATTCAAATACTATATCTGTTAATTTCACTATTTACAATTGTTAAAAGGTGAAATAAAAAATGTAAAAGATCTTGTCTGCGGTTATGTTTTTATTTTAAAAAATGTTATAAAATCATTATAAAATTTCAATATACGTCGTATGTTTTTCTCCCTCATTGTCTGTCTGACTGGTAGAATGTCCTCGTAAAATACCCTATATGCTGCTGAATATCACACTACCTTTTTCACATACATATGGGCTTTAGACTATACTCAGATAAGATTTTCCAATGTGCACTGCCATGTGTCTGTCCAACGAATCCTTCGTTAAATAGGGTACGCGTATGCCACAAACATTCCACAATCTTCAGTATGAAGCCTTGTCTAGATTTTAGCCTTTTTTCAGGCATATCACAACTTTTTTACTGAAAAGACGACACATGTCGATGTAGATAGGTAGACAGTCTTCGAAAGAGGTAATTTTATATCTCATCGTATCAGAACAGGGAAGACCTCTTCCTGAATCATAAAGATTAACTGTTATATACATGTACTTTGTAGATGACTATATATCTATTGATGACGTTGACAAAATAGTTAGTTTAGTTTAAACAATATTTTATTTATAATCCATACATTTACGTAATAAAGTAAATAAAATAAAATTTATGGATTGAGTAGGTAGCTTGTAAAGCTTTTTTATGCATTTATTGAGGTTATCGTAGAAAATCCGTAGCAGAAATTTGGAAGTTTGTAAAATGCAAAGATTCATCAATAAATTAAGTTATAAATTAATTCACTTTAGAACCTGGACAAAAATATATATATTGGTCCCAGTTACATGTTACATGTAGAGCATATTTTCAGCATTTGGAAATAGCCTTTAATGTTGAAATAAGAATGATTAATGATAAAAATGATTGTTGATAAAAGTCTATATCTACATCTACATCTATATTATACTGCTTAACAATCAATTCTGATTATGACTAGCAGGCGCGTTGTCAGGGAACTGTTAATAAAAAATTATTTATACGCAAATTTAAAAGTTAAAAGAATAAAAGTTCTACAAGACTATTAATTTAAAAGACAGAGTGTGCAATTTAGAATTTCTGGAATGGGTCAAGTCTCTCAATAAAGATGTTTAAACTGGGGCTAGACTGGACAGTTAGAGGAAAGCTCTTCCAAAAACGTATGCTACTAGGAAAGAAAGAATTTTGATGATATTGTGTCCTCGAGTAGGGTATCAGGTAGTTCAGATATCTTGTTTGGGTAAGGTGTTGGTGGTCAACAAAGACAATGTTGTTTTGGATTTTATACAAGCAGGTTACAGCACTGATGTTTCGGCGCTGTTCTAGGGTTTGCCAATTAAGATCATTTATCATTTTTGAAACACTACTTGTATAGTCGTAATCATTAAAAATGTATCTAGCAGCTGATCTTTGTACTTGCTCTATCTTATAAATTAAGTATTTCTGCCAAGGATGCCAAACTATGGAGCAATATTCAACCTGAGGTCTAACATAGGTAATTTGTATATAAATACAAATCTAAATATAAAACCTTTTTCAAAATAAAGTTTATATTATTATAACTATTGGCGCCCGCGCCGAAGCGCGGCGCCTTTTATGGAATGAAATCAGATTTTGTGAAAGGGCGACAGCAACTTCTCGAGCCTTTTATAGTTGTTGATAATAAAAGCCGATCATTCCGATCGGTATGAGGGTGCTTGATTATTAATTAGTCGCGATATGTACAATGAATAGCGAACTGGAGAATTTCGCAATGCAAACATTTTCAAATGAAATAACTTTTTCCGTCAATAAATCGCGCTCTTTGATGTATTTTTATTTATCATTTTGTAGTACACAGTGGGTTATTATGGCATCGGTAATTCCCGGTCTCTCCTGGTCTATTTTGACCGGGATTTACTAGTGACCGGCGAATAGTACCACACGTTTATTGTCCGGTCTCTCTCGGTTTTGGAGTAGATGTTTGATATCGTTACAGAACAGAACAAATATTTTACAGATAAATAAGCTTTTTTTTCAAAATGAATGTTTGTCACTTAGTTTGGTTACAATAATATTGTCACAATATGGTTACAATAATTAATAAACACAGATCAAGTCTCAAATTTATTGATTATTATTATACATAAACATACAATTCGAAAAAAAAAAACCAACAACACAAATTGCATGTTTTATTTTATCTATATGAGATAAAAACAATAAATGTGTACAATAATTGAGAAAAATGTACATTTTTATGGCATTAATATGACACTATCAACTTTGAAACATTTTATTTAATTTGTTATTCGTGTTTAGTAAAGATGCCGAGGAATTATTCAAAGTTACAAATCAGATTTTATGAATTATTCAATTGATTGATAATTTAAAAAAATGATAAAGAAAAATTCAAATGTACACGTATATATGGTTTAAGAATAAACAATATTATATATTGAAAGATTAACCATAATTTACTGATTTTTTCCAGTAAAGTTTTGACTTAAAATCGTCGGTCAATATGACAATTGAATTCTTAAAATAGTAGTAAACGTAAAAACTCAGTGTTAAAATAGCGCATAAAACACAAAAGAGAAAAGAAAACAATATTCATAAAATCTGTAATTTTTTTATTAAAATAGATATTACAATTATTGTATAATAAACAATTATGCTCAACATGATCAACATGGTAATATAACAAGTGTCATATTGTTACAAAGTGTGTACAGATACCTTAAGAGGTGGGTCTTCGCTAATAGCGATAACATAAAAAGGGACAATTACACAAGTGTGGTGTTGATCATGCGTTACACATATGGATTATATATGATTGTATACATGTGTACATATCCGTTGCTCATAAAGAAATAACAAGTAATATTCTAATTTCTAGCATGCCAATCAAAGTTATAAATAATGAACAATGTCTTTCGTCCGTTCATTCATAAGTGATATACAATTCTGGTAAAAACCAATGAACCATTAAAAAGTTTATAAGAATATCTTGTCATCAAATATCTACTATAGTTCATCTGCACCTGCTGCATTTCTTGCTTGGACGCCCTTTGATGCTTTGCATCAATGCTTTTCTTGTAGGTATTATATAATGTAATTATATGAGGTAAATCATTATTCGAATATTTGCGCCGTATCTACAAAATATACCCGTTTACTAAACGACAATCGTATTGACTAATCAAAACAAATGAGAGACACTTTATTTTGAGCAACGTAAAACACATTTCGATTGGTTACAATCGCAGAAAATTTGCTCACGTGACTCACCCAATGTCATCAAAGTGAATTTTTTTACAGTGTATGAAGTTTTGAAGCTAATATTTTCGCTTAAAGCAAACTCAAATCATTTTCGTTATAATAATCCCAAAACTTTAGAGTTATACCAATATCCAACTAGCGTAATAAGCACCCATGTTACGTAACAAGAACTATAGACTGCCCAAAAACTCATCTTGAATCGGCGAAAGTTTTACAAACATGGCGGCCGAAACAGGCACCTCCTATTTTCAGGTGAGACAGTTTCCTGTGCACTCTGATTCTTCATTACGGAAGAGCTATTTTGAAATTGATGATATGCATTTCTGTTGTATAAAATGATTTTATTCTTCTTGGAGGCATTTAAATCGTGTGTGCACGATAGTTTTATGTGTGTTTCCTTATAGGCTCTGTGTATTCATGAATGAAATGGGTCTAAGAATATTAACTGAAAGGTTTGTTGTTGTTCATTTGCATGTCATGTCAGTACAGCATGGGATTTTCTCGAGGAACTGAAGAAAACTTCTACTGAATATTGTGGACGTAAGGCTGTCGTATTATCAGTCCCCAGTTTTATTGATTTTTACAATCATTCTACGATAAAAGTTAATTATTTCCACAGAAAACTGGCTTTAAGACTTACCTGCCTTGATGTTTTAGGCCAGTGTTTCTCATTACTGGACAAGTAACAGATTAATGCCATGTTTCACTTCTTGTCCAGTCAAGCAAATGTACTGGTGTTTCTTCCAGAGCATGTTTAAGACGCATTTTTCAGCCTTGACATGATGATCAGATCCAATCAGTGCCTTTCCTGTAAAGTGTAAAGCAGGAATTTATTCTTCATCAATTTTCAGTAAATACAGAAGTGACTCCCAAAAAATTGGAGCTTAAAGAAACACTGATGTGAAGACATTTTGTTAGGGCTATTATTGATTTGAAATATTGTATTGATATATTGAAAGCTAAATATCAGTAATATATTGATTTATCACAGAAACCACAGCACAAGATATAACCATTTAATAAATCAATATTATGCTTGTGTAATTATAGCAATAACCTTACAATGTGCCATAGTTACATGACATCAAACTTAGTGTAAAGTACAATAAATATGTACTAAACTTTCCACTATAAGGCAGGCTTGAAATAGAAAAAAATGTTAATGATTGTGAACATTTTGTATCATTGGTATGTGATAAATAGAATATGGTATATTTGTGTATATTTGTTGCTAAATTGTTTTTAATTTGGTGAATAAAATAATGCTATGTTATAATGTTAGTCAGATGCTCGGACAATATAATTTTAAACAACTCATTCAAGAAATTCAGTTTTGATTCATATTTTGTTATGAGCCCATACTTGTATACTTAAAGTTAAAATCTATCTATCCCTCAATTATGTTAAATTATTCACAGGGACATAGACAAATCTATCCATCCCCCAATGATGTTAAATTATTCACCTGGACATAGACAATAATTTTAACACAATATTGGTCTAAGAACAGCTTTTTCGCTTCTCAATGCTTTTGTCTGTCAATTGGAAACCAACATATGTACTTGTGGCATTATATTAGGTCCCATCTAATAGTTACATATTACAGTATTTTACATTTAATTTCTTAGCCAGTTAATAAGATTCTTTGCAGTTTCATTGTTGTACAACATTTCCCTTTTTTATCAAAGCCAAACAAATTTTATGTTTCATTTTTTTTTTTTTGCAATTTGATTTGTTTATAGAAGAATATTTATGAGAACCTTCATAATTACAGTATTGTAATGCATTGTTTTAGAGCAAACTGGGAACACTTGACACTCAGAAATACACATTTTTATTTTTTGTATTTTCTGTTGAGTTTTAAATTTGACAACATGAAAAATTACATTGATTATTCAGTTGTTAAATCAAGTCTGACAATCATAAAAATATGATATAAATGACTAAATCACATAATGTGATATTTTTTACCTTGATGTTAAATTATTTATATTATAATAAAAGAAATAACTTGAGCCAAATCCGTTCACAATATTTCTGCTATTCTGCAGTCTGTTTGATGCTTTGCTTTTATGCCCCTTTATTGACTAAGACTTTATACCTTATTATTTTTATGATTTGCACAAAAGCCATCAGATATATTAGCTTCAAACTTAAAATACTTGTTAAGGGCAGGTTACTCCCCCCATCAGTTTTACATGATAATTATGCCCCCTATCCTTCTTAACTTTAATCATACTATCCTGCATTAAGAAAAGTGGAGGGCGCTCATTTTTGACAGGTCTTGTTTTAATCATGAAATTAGGACACAATGGGCAAAATAATCTCACTACCACAATCAAATTATACATTTCTATTAATTTGAATTTTCTATGCCATTTTTTCAGTGTGGGGGGGGGGATAAGTATATCTGCCTTTGAGAACAGGTCAATTTTCTGGACCATTTAAAGAAGAATAATAATCAGTGATTTGCTTTTAACATCTGTGAAAAATATTTGACTTTGAATTAATCTTATGTGTTAATTTGTTCTTCTTATCTGTTATTTCATTGTCTATGTAAACAAAGATCTTGCCTGCCTTTCAGTGTGTCTGCTATTCAAATTCTCTTTGTACATTTATTCTGAATCGCTTTGTTATTTATATAGATGTTGACATGTATTTGATCACATATTTCTTGAAAACATAAGAACCCTAAATAATATAAAATAATAATGATATAATACCTTTGAAGTTTGAACCTCTAATGACATTTTCTATTGTTTTGCTTTTGAACACAAGTCATGAAAAAGGAAAGGTTTAACAGATTTATTAGTAATTGCATGTGTGTTGCTTCGCAGTATGTCAGCTAAGAGTGGAATACAGAATGGAGCGATGTTGAAGACGTCTAAACGACGGCTGTCCGCAGGGTCAGGGGGACGTGTGGTAATAACGCAGTGTGCTGTGTGTGACCAGTGGAGCTTATCGTGGGTTTTCCATCCAATCAATAACTTTTCATAAGACTATAGTGAAACATTCTTGTAGTTTGTTTTATTAAGGGTGTTAAACTTTGGTTTTAAAAGAATTTAGGACCAGAAAACCACAAGCCAGTCTCATTATTCTGACCAGTCACAGTGTTTGCCAGTATCTACTCTGTATTATAGTGACATTATGTCCATCCAATCAGTGTTTCTGTCAGCTCTGATTTTCTGAGGGTCTTTTATGACCCCCTGTATGATATTTTAGGGGTCATTTCAAATTCATAAGGGTCATGCCAATAAATTTAACAAAAATGTAAAAAAAAACAGGTAACACTTTATAAGTTTTATTTACAATATTTTGTATATTTTTCGTGAAGAAATTGGTCAATCTCTGCTATTTTGGATTATTTGTCATCCAATAATAACGCTGTATTTCTTAAAAATTATGTGTGTAACTGTTAATTTTCACAGAAGAAAGAAAGTCAATACTATATTGAAATTCGTTCATAGTCGCCTTCTATTTTTCATAGTGCTTCATAGTACCGCCTAGTGACGTAATCAAGGGCCAAATAAAGCTTGAAACTAAATATGTTAGTGTTCATCCTTAGCTGTTTTACAGAAATTAGAAACATTCTCCTGTCGCTATCGCTCCCTTCGAAGTTTCTAATTTCTGTAGAACAGCACAGATGAACACTAACATATACGCAGACTGCATTTTCCAGCAGACAGTTATTCGTTCGCAGAATATGACGACAACAAAATAAATAATTTTGTCTGGGCGCTTTCAATATATGCAGTAACGTATAAATGCAAGCGTTTATTAACTAGTTGAAATTGGCTAAATGCCGGACCACGGACCCGGTAAATTTCATTTCTCATTAAAATTATAGTGGAGCCCACGGTAAACATTCCGTACATTTTTATACTGAATTGACAGTTTATAGTCTGTATATCTGACTTGTGTTGAAATCAGCGACGGTGAAATTCTTGCGTCACAAAATACGCACTAACTAAATTTCATTGCGTCATGGCTGAAAATAGTGCGCCAAAAACGCGCTCTGGCAGAAACACTGTCCAATGGTAAATAGTGAGTGAATAGGTGAAAGTAAAACAATGGAAAGCATTCTTTAACAATATAATTCATCTGCTAATTAGTACATATAGAAATGATTTTGTGCATGCACATTATTGATGGCAGTGACATGAATGGTGTTGTTATGACCTGAAGCCGAGCAAATAACATTTTACATTAAAGTTGCAAATTCAGTTTAAAACACCCGTTATTATTACAGTAGAAAGTCAAAGAATGATTCTGATTCTTAATGATTTATGTTTATTACAGTCTACAAAAAAGTTTTTGATGGATGGAAAGCCTACAAAGTGCCTTGACTCACTAAAAAGACCATTTTCGCTTATGCTTGTGCCCATTATCTGCAGTTTCAAAATTATTATGATTTAAAGCTTGTTCTTTGTCACCAGTATTTTAAGGGAATTAAAATGGGGAAATTTCTTAGGTATTTTGCAAAGAAAATTGGTCAGTACATGTGTCATATATGTCAACATATATGTAGCAGTATTTACTTGCACAGTACAACAGTTACTAATGTGCAACATTTCATTGAAAGACAAATGCCCAAAGAAATGTTATTCAACACAATATATTGTCAACTCGGACAAATGGACCAAACACAACATATTGTCGACTTGAACAAATGACCAAGGACAACATATTGGTCAACTTGGACAAATGGCCAACACAACATTTCCTCCTTTCTTTACTTAGCCAAAACATTTTAGCAATATTAATTATGATACCAACCAAATCCAATTTACAAACAAACCAGAAATAGGAGTGACTATTTCTGGAAATAAGGAAAATTACACATTTGATTTGGAGGGTTCTTACAAAAGTAACATGTTTGACATTCACTGCCTATTTTATGAACAAAAATCTAAGCACAAAGTAATGGCAAGAATAATGGCTATGCCTGACGTCAGGGTTGATAGTTAGTGCCTAGAGGTAGTATCAGATGTGTATTGCTGTTCCTTTAAAAAATTCAAACATTTGGCATGCATTGTAAACTTCGACATTACATGATTGATAGATTCTGTCAAAGCTCACAAATATTTAAAAAAAAGATGGTGTGTCTTATGATTGTGTAGCAGATAATTTAATTCTACTGACACAGACTGTTGTACACGTTACTGTAGCTGTACAATGTTGTTGTTGTGTCAGGGTCATAAATATGCTCGCATCCACTATAAAATCTGGCATCACCCAACATTTAGATGTATAATCTTTTTATCTCTGATACCCTTGATTTCCCCATTTCCTATCCAAAGTGTACGACGATTTCCCCACTTCCTGTCCAAAGTATACAACAATTTCCCCAATTCCTGTCCAAAGTATACCAGGATTTTGCTGCTTCCTGTCAAAAGTATTTCCATAACCCTAATACACATAAGGACCTATTGACGAACTGTCAGTGAAGTGTTGTGCATCATAGTACATCGAAGAACATTTGAGAGGAAAATGTACATGTTACTACTAGCTTAAAATTCAATTTAATATAGCCTTTCTGTTAAGATTATAGAAAAACAGAAAAACTGCCATTAAACGGGAAATAAGTGATAATGTATAAAAATGGTCTTTTTATTGTGCACTTGAACAATGTACTGATAATTCAAGTAGAACAAAGATTTACAATTTTTTTGTACTTAAAGAGTTAAGTGAAAAGGTCTACATTTAATCAAGAACATAGTTTCATATTTATTTGTATGTATTTTATTATCTGAATAAAATACAGAAAGAAACATTTGATTTTTATCAAAGAAATACAAACATTCTTCATTCGTAATAACAAATTCATTAAAAATCTTTTTTTTAGAAATTATTGCATGAATTATCAGAACATTTTACTAATAATATGCAGTGTGCCTTTTAACTTTGATATTGATTTCAATTTATAGATTTAGTTCGTTTTTTTCCTGCTCATTTTTGTATTCAGTTTTATAATCTAATGGTCATAAAACCATAGTTTGTGAACCAGTCTAAAATTATCATTTTTTGATTGGTCATTTCTAAGTATGATGTAACCACTAACCACTAACCAATAGGATGAAAGATTTAGTTTTAGACTGATATGCAAATGCATTGAATGAGTTTGATGTTCTTACATTACAACATTACTGACTTCTCTTTGGAAAAGGCTTCAATGTCTGTTGTAACTTTTCAAGGCAATAGTATTTCATTAGCCACCAGCATTATACTGTATAACATTGAATTTGTAGTATTTGTTGTTTATGATTAAAGATATCTGCCTATAAATTAAATAGATTTTAATAATTATATAATGTGTATTTGAAGACTATCATTACTTTAAACTTTCTCTATAACTGTCTTAACTGATATTGTTACTGTCTAGGAGATGTACGCTATGTTTAGGCGGGAACACCCACGTTGTCTTGACAAGGGGTACCTAGACGTCAACATTTATATAAATGCCACAATTGTTTACTTATTATTATTGGGATAATAAATAGATACAAACAAGACCCAATGCAATCTTGTATAACTTTACCCCACAGTTACTATAAAGTTTTATTCAAATTTTGGTTGGGCCATTTTAGGAGCCAACATTATGAAAAGTAGATACAAATTTTGAAATGGCTTGCACTCTTGAGTTAGTCCTTTCTAAACTTAGAATAAAGCATTCCTGGTTTCCAAGAGCTGTCCATTTAGCTCAATAGGTACAGCATTAGACTGTGAATAGGGCGACCCGGGTTCGATTCCTAGACGGTGCAGGTCACTTTGTGATTGATCATGAAATCTTTTCTATGGTCATTTGCACTGTACCTCTGCTCTAACATATACAGAAGTTTCAGTTCCTTGCCAAAGTGGAGGCAACTACGGTAGTACTGGTAAACTGCTTGACAGCCTGCCTCTGGTAAATTCAATGTGGCTTACTGCCATGATCCGGAATGAAAATTACCAACACCAGATGACCTTCCCATCACTATATTGCTTTCCTTTTAAAAGGGGGCCTTTGTGTGTACATATTGTTGTGTCAGTAATAAATTCAAATATAATTAAATTCAGGGAAATATTTAAAGAATAATTGTTTCTCTTCCAGTCATCGAATTTAGCACTGGCCCGGTGGCCTACGGCCAGTGAAAATAAGTTCGGGCCAGTGTAAATTTTAAGAAAATTTAGTTAAATATATAGTAGAATAAACTCAAAACTGGAATTTGGGCCAGTAAATTCAAAATCTTAAATTCAATGACTGTCTACAAACCAAGGGAAATATGTTGGAAATTGATTTTAAACAGTATTTAAATCATGTAAATATTGTATTACTTTAACAGTCATGGTTTATATCATTTTTTTGTGAATGATTGAACTGTGTGTTATATTTTTTAATATATAAATAAATGCAGAATTCTAAATTTCACATGAGTTTTAGTTTTCCGTAAGAATTTGAAAATGTGATTTCTAACTGTTTAAAGCCCTATTTATAGCTAATTTTAGTGATTTACAAATACACCCTAACACGCTACGTTGACCTTTATAATTATAGATTCGTGACACATGTAAACATTTGTAAGTCCCACTTGAAATAGTAAAATACAGGGTGGTAGCAGTAAGATTCAGTAATCTTTAGCCTTATTTCTAGTACAATGACATAAATAATTATTGTACATGTTTACATTGTGTGTCAGAACAAAAAAGGAGATAAAAAATGAATGATAATAGTTTTTAAAAAGTGTTTATTATTATGTGATTAAAAATTAACATATAGGATTTTTTTTTATTGAATTTGTTACAGTTAAATTTGAAAAGTTTAAGATTTAAGAAATTAAATTTGAGTTATGAGGGATGTATTAATTCAAAACTATCAGGTTTGTAATATTACTGAATTTTAAAACCAATATTGAACTGTTTAATCTTTATTTATATGTGAGGTGGTAATTATTATTATACTGGTTTTACACTGTGTAAGTGCTACATGGTTTTCCTTTACTTTTCACTGCAATACAATATTTCTAGTTTGTTTAAAGACATTTTTATTCATTGATTTTACTAATTTATTTATTTATCTAAAAAAAAATTGTGATATTCTTTACACAGAGGAATGCTCTATGAGTTAGAATACAAATCATATTTATTTATTAAGAGTAAATGAAAATTGTTTTGTTCTGTAGCCAATTTTATATAGATATAACTGTATTATATATTTTCAGATTTTTATTAATCATATTATTTGCTGCTTTTAAGTACCATCTTTTCTCAATTTAGAAATAAGTTTTTGGGTGTGTTTTTTTTTTCACAGTGTAACATAATTCACAATACTAAATTAACTTGTTCTCTCAACTAGTAAATTAGAACTTCTTCACATAGGTGTGGTGTAGAGAAATGTGTTATAGTTATATAGATATATAGACTATTACATTTGTACCTCCTGTCAATGGAGTCCAAGACTAGCAATTATGATGATATATTAAAACCATTACCGTGCTGGAACCAAAATTAATTATTAAAATCATCATACAGTAAAGTAGGGTCTGGCCACCCTACACACCCATGCAGTCTAACTGCTAACTGACTGATTTTAGGCTTTCATCTTTACATCCCCAACATTGGTAATGGACTGTTCCAGAAATGGAAACTAGACAAGTCCATTGAAAAAATTCAGTTTTTTTTTATTTAAGGTTTAATGTATTTGGCTTCACTTTTTCTCATGTCCATGTATTTCATAGTTGTACACACATATTTCATTTTGATTTTATTCATCATATTTCATCAAATGGAATTCCAATACATATACTTAGATCCTTCCTGTCTTATAGTTTACATGTTACTCAAAATCTGTCCTAAATATTAGTAAAAGATTTTTTGTTAATGAGCATAATTTCAGAAAACTGTAAATAATAAAATGATAAAAATCTTACGATAAAGTTAACTTTACTGTAAAGAAAACAAATTATAGCTTATTTTTACAATGTGCAGAACAATAAAACACATGGCTGTTTCTTTGTAACAGAAATCTTTTATCTTCTTTGTCAAGACTGTGCCAAGACATTTTAATGAACAGTAAATTTTGTTGTTTTAGGGAGGTGCCATGCCAAATTCGTTTCACTCTAAGGCCGAGATAGAAGAGGCTCGTGAGGCTGTCAAGAAAGAGATACGGAAGGAGATGAAGATTAAAGAAGGGGCGGAAAAACTTCGCGAGGCAACTAGTGATAAAAAGAGTTTAGCACATGTACAAACAATAGTAAAAAAAGCCAACAATAGATTACAGGAATTACAACAAGAGTTGAATGAACTGAGCACCTACCTCCTTGTTTCTAACAGTCTTGGTGGTGATGTCATCGATGGTGAGTTTACCTATATAGTTTTAGAGTTGTATGGATTATTCTTGTCTCATTTTAGTGTGTTTTTTTTCTCCCATACAGTTTTTGGGTCTGAACTCAATTATAGGGCCTCAATCACACTATCTAACTATAGGGCCTCAATTACAAAGCCATAAAGATATCTTTTTTTATCTTCATTATTTTTTTGTGAAAATGCATAATAATTATTGTCAAATTGTGGTCATTGACAAAATTGTCAGTGGCTTAAAAAGTACAAAAATAAGACATTAAGTTACAAGACTAAAATTTGTTTTTATCATGAATGTAGGCATTTTCCAATGCATGATTTAAGTTCTTAACCTTTTTTTCCCTACTTACCTGCTTAATTTAGGACTATTTTCACAAATAAGGGCATATTACAGCCATCTTTGTTGGTTCGATTTTTTCTGTGGTTGGGAATTCAAATTGAAAAATACAAAACAAATAAATGTCATAAATAAAACACTCAAATTGTGAGATTAAACTATGAATAACTAGTGAAGGAGCTTGAATTATCATAAGGTGAAGACCCTTTTCTATATGTTGTAAACATTTTGTAAACATTTAAAGGTGATAAAAATGGTTAAAGTATGTTTACATGTACCTAGCGACCTGGACACATGAGTTAATCACTAATAATGCGTCACTAACTTTACCTGCCCACTATCGTGCTGGTAATCAACCATTTCATATTGAACTTAGATATGAATATGTTTTTTATTTTCATTTTAAACAAATGCTGACCAATCTTGGAAGTTCAAAGCCCTATCATTTCATATAATTTTATTTTGTATTACATAGTTAATTTAAAGAAGTTATCAGAAAATGTTTATTATTAGCATTTAAAAAATGCTTACCAGCACACACATGTAATCAGCATATCAAATTAAAAACAAACTTTTCTGTAGAATTTATTGCAAATATGTGTCGTTAAAGCTGACATTTAGTCCTGTTTGTGATGACTGACTTTACCAATTCATCCCACTGAATTCTGATTATGGGCAGTTTAATTTGGAAGTTTCATCAGAGGGATTTTACTTCCAAAATTTTTAAGCGGAGCTACCTAGACAAAGGTCTGTTGATTGCTTTATGGGGAGTACATTTGAAACTACTCCTTTAACCCATTACTTCATGAGCATTTTGTGAAAAATGGCTGTTTTCATTGAAAAGTCTCCCGTTACAAGTTCAAATTGCTATAATACTATAAAAACTGCTTCAACACTAATCAAACTTGGCACAAATGTTGACTGGACCATTGCACTTGCAACAACATGCTCAGGCTTAAATTTTCTGTTACCATGGCAACGAGGGGACATCTCAAAATTGCCAAAAATCACTATTTTGCGTTTGATTTTTTCCATCAAAATTGATTTCAAAGTGCTGCACTTTCTCAATGGATTGAGATAGAGTCAAATGCTTTTCAGCGTTGGTTACACGTTACCTTATGATCAATCTGGGGTCATTTACAGCCTCTCACAAGTCCAAAATTTTTCTTGGCGATGAGGGGGACGCCGCCCCCCTTCAAACCCCCCAAACAGAAGGGGGCACAACCCCCTTCTGCCAACCCCCTGATGTATCTTTTGATTGGGGGGCCGCGCCGAAAAAGAGGTCACTTTTTTTAACAACATTTCTCAAACAAAAACAAGTGTTTGGGGCCTAAATAAGGCATTTTTTCATCATTTGAGACAACAAAAAGGGGGGGTGAAAAAGGCGTTAAAAGGCGTGTATATGAAGTAATGGGTTAAATGAACTTTAATTAAAGAAGCTTTCCATTTTGATATTGTTAAATGTTTAAATTAAAATGAATTAAATACTATGCAGCTGAAATAGTAAATGGCTAAAAAAGATTCCATATTGTATTACAGAGGCTGAGAAATGTTTGTTGTTCAATAAAACAAATAATTCCATCTTTACTTCAAACTTGATTTGTTAAATTTGCAAACATGTTGAAGTAATTTCAAGTTCAAAAATGTTAGATATGCAAGGCGTGGTTGATATAGCGGGTGGCTAAGGTTGTTGATTTCAAACCACTTGCCCTTGTTGGTTCGAATCCCGCTAAGGACTTTGGATTCTTTCATCTAGCTTACGGTATGTTGGTGGTTCTACACAGGTTCTCGTTTGTATTTAATAAATAATACCTAGAGAGGCATCTGAGGGCTTTTTCCACCAGTATAACCATAATAACCTTTACAGTTTTAGTGCACGGTAAAAAAAAAAAAGAATAAAAAAAAAAAGATGAGCATGGCATTAAAGGGCGTGGCATGACAATTGGCATGAGTGTCGGTAATCACTGTTGATAATCTTATTTAATACTGGACATTTAATTAATGCAGGAATGATAATAATCTGGAAGGAATGCAAACAATTTACATGGTCAGTTAAGTACAAAGTCATCATCTATGAGTGTTAAATATATATGCAAATTTCTGTCAGCAAATAAGTACTTCATATAAGATGTTACACTGTTTTGCATGAACCTTTACAGGATATTTTCGAAATTGTCAACTTCAAGTAAATTTATAAAAAACAACAAAAGCTTTCGGTTTTCGTTATGCAATAAAATCCTCTTGTAAAAATTTAACCACATTGTATTGTCTTTGCTTAAAAAAGAAAATCTTAAAAAAAAAAAACTCCAGAAAATATTTTCCTGTATTTTAATAATTATGAAATTAAGTATACTAAATAATAATAATAATAAATGCAATGTCTTGATATTGGCAGACTGGAATAGAAATTTATTTTAAACAGTGAATTAATAAATTAATATGCAGTTATAGTTGTGGTCAGTGACTAATTTCTGTCTTTTCTTTTTTCTTTTTTTCTTTTTTTTTAAACCTGATTTGAATCTCATCTTCGCCTACAAACAAAATACCTGTCTATAAACAATCATGTTTTTATTTTTTTAGTCCTGTTTAATGTACGTTTAATAATAACTGTCAAATAAAGTCATAATTATATGCTGCGTGCTGTTTGATCTTTTAAAACTTTATTTTATAGGTTAAATGTTGCATACTAATTTAGCTTTTTGATAAATCAATATAAGACAAGTTAGAGTAAACTTTCTAAACTGGGCTGAGACAGGGGATGTATCCATGTTCCTTCCCATTAAAGTTTAAACTCGCCCACATCTAGTTCATTGATAAGGGTGATGAATTTTAATGCTTTTATGGCTTTATTTTTTTGCCCCAAAAAAACATCAATAGCGTGTGGTTTAGGGGTCGATCAAGATGCTTAACCCAGTAATTTTCTTTTGTCTGTTTAAAAGTGATTTTGAATTTTGAGTAAGGTGTTGTGGTTTTTCTTCTTAGTCATTTTTTACCAAACATAATTGTTGACAAGGCGGTACCAAATTAGAAGTTAACGATGATAGAAAAGAAAGTTGTGTATTGAAAATTGAGGGAGAAAAAAAATTGTGTGTAATCAGATATAAAGCCTTGGAGTGATAATTGTCCCCTACCAATCTGTTGGTCTCCAAAAAGTGGATTCTACGATAATTAAAAAAGTATTCAAACTTGGAATATTTTCATGAAACTTCTTCATCTAGCAATGGTTTTGAAAAAGTAGCTTAGAGTTGAGTTTGTATTCACTTACTTGGGCTCAGGGAGAACCAAATTTAAAATGTATATGACATATGCATCTTTTATATATAATTTACAAATGTAAATTTTAATATTACTGAGTAAAAAGATTACTGGGTAAACATCTTTTTATAGATCAAATCAATGCACTGGCCCCTTTTCACTTCTCCCTATGTCTTCAAACTTCTCCCTGATAGGAGCTAAGGGAGAAGTCACTTCTGCCTTAAATTTTGGTCTAGCTAGAGCCCTGTATGTAATATATTTCTAAATTATCAAATTTAAGTGAAAAAATAGAGGAATGAAGGGGTCAAGAAACTATTTAAAATGATTTATTAGCCTTTTTGAAAATGATAATTGGTGTATAATAATGGTAAGAGATACAGTTTCTGGTTGACGATTGTCCATTAGGGAAACTTTAGAGGTATAAATGGTAACCTTATATTGGGCAGAACTGATTAGGTAGATTTGAGACTAAATATGAGTCATGATAGAAATGGAGACATTAACATGATACTTGTATTGTTGAAAGTGGAATAAGTCATGATGGGCTTTGACAATTTTGATAATAAAATATGAAAATTTGTCATGTGCGAGAAAATTCATGTTATTGCAAGGTAACAATATGGCTAGTTATCCTTGTGGTAGCTCATTGATACATATGTACTTGCATGAGTGTTTCCCAATTTAGAAAAAAAAACAGACGAGGGTCCAAAAATTTCTACAACTGCAAAATGTATATATTTCTAAGGGGAGTTGACAAATTACAAGTTTAACAGGGATGATCATGTGTCAAAATTTATTTGATTTTTGAAAAAGAAAATTAAGTTGATATTCAAATTTTAGAGGGTTTTTATATATTAATCCATTCCCAGGGGAAGGAGTGTTTGGGGGAAGGGGGGGAGTGGGATTTCTTGACACCCCCTGGGTCCCTGCTTGGCAAATTAATGAAATTTTTATCATTCCAGGCAGTGTTTGTTTACTGTTTTTGAAATGACATATAGACCCTCATTAAATTCAAATGCATATTCTTTAGTTAACATATTTTAGTGTTTATTTATTTGACATCTTTAAAGACATGCTAAAATGGATGAGATTTTAAGCTTGCTTTGTTATTGACATTAATTACGCTTGTAAGAAATAAAGAAATAGATAAAAGATTTAGGTTTAATTGATAGGTTTTGTTGTTACATGTATATGGAACTTGATAGATAAAAGAAGTCGAAATATGTGATGAGTCAGATAAACACAATGTTAAAGGAAGTATACAGTATTTTAGGACAGGATAGAATTTCGTTATAAACATCTGTAACATAGTTCCTTGTATATATCACTATGTGTTTATGTTCTTGGGTTTGTAACCCTGGCTGCCTGAAAACATCATAATTATCTGACATTATACTCATGGTCACTGTCCATTATATACTAGTATAGTTTACAAACCAAAAATTGTGTTTCCTGTCATATTTAATGCAGGTCATTAATATTTCAGACAATTTTCTTTCTTGCTTAACCAATTGACCTTTTAGCCTTGGCACAAGAGGGCAAAATTAGGAAGTATTGAATTAATTAGTTTTGACAAATTCTGTCTTTATAGTAGTCATACTGACACTTAAAAATATTTCCTCTGTGTATAATTATACTTTATTTTGCTATATATTGGTCTGTTGTCAAATCATGTTGTATAACTTTAAATATTTGCCTGTTCTGTAATCCTGTTCCATTATTTTGATATTGGCCTGTTATCTAATCTTGTTGCAATATTTTCAATATGGGCCTGTCCACTGATCTTGTTGCATTATTTTCAATATAATTATTGGCCTGTTCTCTAATCTTGTTAAATTATTTTAATATTGGCCTGTTCTGTTATCTTTTCAAATTATTAACCTATTTGGTCTGTTCTGTAATCTGTTACATTATTTTCAATATTGGCCTGGTGTTTAATCTTGTTACATTATTTTCAATATTGGCCTGTTCTCTTATGACTTAACATGTTGCAGTATTTTCAATATTGGCCTGGTGACCAATCTTTGATGAAATGGTTGTAATGTTATGGAGTATCACAAAAGCTTTTGTTTCCTATTGAATGGAAGAAAAATTTATTGATCCATAATTTAATTTCCTGTGGTTTCCTGTGAAATTAAGATGTTTCCAAATATCAAATCTATAAAAACAAGAATAGGTGTTGTACACATGGATTATTGAATTCACAATAACCGATATTGTTGTATAATTGAAATTTGATGTAAGGCAGAAAGGCTTTCTGTCTGGCCTTCTATAAATCATTATGTTTGTAAGATAAAATATCATCTTAAATAGCTTGATAATGCATCTCTTGTCTTCTTGTAAGAAAATTTTTGATGTATGATTAGTAGGGATATATTTATTAATTTTAATCTTTTTATTAATTAATTAATTTATTTATTAATTTATTTATTAATTTATTTATTTATTTATTTATTTATTTATTTATTTACTTATTTATTTATTTATTTAAATATTGATATTGATATTTATTTCAAGTTGAAATAATGTTTTATATAACAGACACTAGGTGCCCCTCTGATGTCTTTTTTCCATGCATATTCTCAGTCACTTTTCTAGAACTGGGTATTATAATTTAACAGTTAAGTGTTTCTATAAAATTTAGACACAAGTGTAAAATCAAAATTGGAGGGACTGGCAATTGTACTGGTTTCAGAATAAGCAAATTTAGGCAAGCTAGAAAAAGATTGTAATGTATACTGTATCATCTGTATGTATATTGATTTTGAGTTCAATTGAAAGAAAATGATTTTTTTGTAAGATTTTGGTTTTTCATAATGGCCTACTTTATTTTCTAGAATCTAGGTTGAGTATTTTTATTTTTCATTAATCTTCTTTGGCAAATGTTTTTCATGATGTGCAGAAGTCTTGAATAATATTTTAAGACTGCACATTCTTCTCAATGTCTGTGAAAGATTGTTTAGTGGAATGAGTTTGGCAATGTTTTCATATGAAGAAAGGCACAGAAAGCTGTGTTTTGTCAGTGATAGAACATATGTTCACATCCTGATATAATCTGTTATCATGCATAGTCTTAACAGAGTGATCAAAACAACATTACACAGTGTATAAGCGTAACATTAGTAAGCAATTTTAAAGACAGTGTACAACCTGTTATTCTTAGTTATTGACTGTAACATTATTTGTAACATTATTATACTATAAATAACATTGCACCATGTATAAGCATGATAGAAATTACATGTTACATGATTACGCCATTTCGAGCACTTTGCTGTAACATTAATGTTATATGGATTACTATGGCCCAACAAGCAAAAAATGGATTTAGTAGTCTACCATTTTCATCAGAAATATTTATTTTTCTCTGTTCATTCCATAACAATTTTAAGGTTGTTATTATTCTTTCAGGAATATTTATCTTATTTTAATATTTTGTACCTATTATTGAATGACCACTTTAAGATTCGAAGACTGCCTACTAGTAATATAATGTTTTACTATTAGTGTCATCAAAGTTGTGTTTTGTAATACTGTTTTACATGGATAAGTTTTCTATACATTACAATGATGTGGGTTGCATGTATCAAGTAATAACTGTTAATGCTTTAAATAAAAAATAAAAATTAAAGAAAAAAAAAATTAATCTTACTTCACCTAGGCTTGTATTGTAAAGAAAAAGAAGTGAACAAATGATTCAAGGTCTTGATAAAAGTATTACCTATTTACATTTATACATTATATTTTACTATATATTGACAGATGTGCGATCACCAGAAATTAACAGAGATTCCGGTGTAATGGGGAATAGTGACAATATGAAGGGTGAGGATGACAAACCCAATAGACTCATGTCCCTAGAAAAACAACTCAACATTGAAAACAAGGTAAAGTAAAGCGGGAAAGTTATCATATGACTAATACTATGTTGTTTGACGTAACCGCCTCCAAGGAAACAAAAAAACCAACAAGAATACCCGCCTACATTTGTATTTGCAGCAGACTTTGTATTCTGAAGCTACAAGGCAAGCCCGGTGTCATTCCTTTGCTTTGCGTCTCAGAATGCTTGCCTCTTGGCCGTGTCGCTGACAAGGAATTAGAAATTAGCGCAGACCAAGATCAGTGCTGTCTGATTTTGGCCTGCACTGTTTGCTATTCAGTCAAATACTTACTTTGAAATTTTGAAAGAGCACAAGTCCATTTAATATATTTTTGCTTAGTAATCTTTATTTATAAATAGATGTATCATTATTTTGTATATTACAGGTAAAACAAGGAGCAGAGAATCTGATCGCTATGTACAGTACGGGATCTTCTCGTGACCGGAAACTACTAGCTGATGCCCAACAGATGTTAGCCGACTCTAAAACAAAAATAGAAATCATACGTATGCAGATACTCAAAGTTAACCAGGATTCCAGTACTGAAGATGGTATTTATGATAAATTTATGATCATATTTTTAAACTAAAATATATGATCCTCACAAACATCTTTCTGTTATTTATACTTTCTATACAGGGTTTGTAAAGTCTTAAAAAGTTCTTAAATTTGAGTCCCTTTCGTAAAAAGTGCTTAGAAAATGGGGAAAAAAAGCTAAAAGTTCTTGTATGTGATAAAATTTGCTGCATATATGCTTGAAAATGATTGAATGACATAGAATTGGTAAAAATCGATTTAAAAAAACAAAAACAAAAAAAAAATCAATGATCAATTTAGTACTAAATTAATGAAATATTAACTCATCGGTAACAGTAGGGGGATGAACTGCAGTTGATTCAAACTAGTTATTATGCCCCCATTTTGAAGAAAAGGGGGTATATTGCTTTGCACTTGTCGGTCCGTAGACCAAATGGTTTCCGACTGATAACTAAAGAACCCTTAGGCCTAGGAACTTCAAACTTGGTATGGTGATTGGTCATGACCAGTAGATGACCCCTATTGATTTTAGGGTCAAGGGGTCAAAGGTCAAGGTCACATTGACCTCTTGGGTAAAAACGGTTTTTGATCATTAATGAAAGAACCCTTAGACCTAGGAACTTCAAACTTGGTATGGTGATTGGTCATGACCAGCAGATGACCCCTATTGATTTTGGGGTTAAGGGGTCAAAGGTCAAGGTCACATTGACCTTGTAGGTAAAAACGGTTTCCGATCAATAACGAAAGAACCCTTAGGCCTAGGAACTTCAAACTTGATATGGTGATTGGTCATGATCAGTAGATGACCCCTATTGATTTTGGGGTCAAGGGGTCAAAGGTCAAGGTCACATTTACCTCTTAGGTAAAAACGGTTTCCGATCAATAACTAAAGAACTAAAGAACCCTTAGGCCTAGGAACTTCAAACTTGGTATGGTGATTGGTCATGACCAGCAGATGACCTATTGATTTCGGGGTCAAGGGGTCAAAGGTCAAGGTCACATTGACCTTGCATGTTAGAACGGTTTCCGATCAATTAACTAAAAACGCTTAGGCCTAGGAACTTCAAACTTTGTATGATGATTGGTCGTGACCAGCAGATGACCCCTATTGAGTTTTGGGTCAAGGGGTCAAAGGTTAAGGTCATGACCAGTAGATACTTGATAACCCTTATTAATTGTTTGATCACTGGGTCAGAAGTCATGCATAATAACCTTATCACATGACTAATTGGCTGCTGATAGGGGGCATACATGTTTTACAAACATATCTTGTTTTGGTATGAATAATATATACTGTAGTTGCAATTTTTATTGTTCTTCTATAGAAACTGTAAAATGGTGACAGAAAAATGTGTGTTAAACAAAAAATGGCTAATAAATTATCCATGGGTTGAAGAAAAGTTACTTTACAAATGATATATGTGCGACAAATGGTGTTTGTAAAATGAGAAAACATGCTTAAAAATTGCTTAAAAAGTGCTTGAATTTTGGCATTGTATATCTGTAAAATGAAAGTTGTCTTTCTTTGGTTAAGACTGATCGGATAGACCTACTGGCTCATTTTGTGTGTGATGTTTTTTATTTTCTCTACTATTTGAAGAATAAGAAGAGCTTTTGTACTCAACCCAGCATTGGTATCTCTAAATTTACTGAAGGGAATGGGTTGAAACTTCACACACCTTTTCTGTATGTTTATCTTACATAATATGCTTAGGTCCCATAACTCTTGAGTTACTTTATTTAGAGTTATGTCCCTTTGTCTTAATGCCAAGCACAGAGAATAGTCGGGCACTGTCTTAACAGTCAACTCTCGATTCGTACCCAAAACACACAAATATGTTGCTAGGGAGAAACATTGGTATTAACTATAGTATATCTGATGTTTGTGTCACACTGAAAAAAAAATACATGCTTGGCACTTGTGATTTTTCAGCCTCACAAAGATGTGAAGTATTATCTCCCCTTGAATTACGGATAGAGGAGTTACGTCATCATATAAGAATAGAATCAGCTGTCATGGAAGGTGCCAAAAATGCGATCAAACTTTTACAAATGGCCAAAGAGAAAGATAAAAAAGCCCTCCAAGAGGTAAATCATTTAAAATTGTTTGAAATTCTTTGTGATTTCTATATTAAGGGATTAATTTTATTTTGTTAAAATTGTTTTTTTATTGAATAAATGTAATTTTATATGGGATTGGAAAGAAATAATTTCTGTTCAACTTGATGAATGAATTTTAAAAAGATGTACTTCAAATATAAAACCTGAATAAGCATCATTTCTATGTCCTCCAACAAGAACGATCTTATTAAATACATGATAATACTTCAACCTCGCGATCTCTTGTATAAATATGCTCAGGCCCTACGAGTTCGAGCAAACTACATTCAACTGTGTATAACAATGACTGACTCCATCTTTTTATTACATTTATTTCTAGGCACAAACAAGCTTATCAGAATCCAGTCAAAAATGTGAATTGTTGCGAATATCATTAGAGAAACGTATTAACGAGCTTGGACCGAGCTCAAATTCAGCAAAAATAGATTTATTGAAACAAGAGCTTGACGCTATGAGTCCAAATTCATATAATTCTAACAAGCATCATAACAGTTTAAAACGTACCCAAAGTAATTCTCCATTTGCCAAAGCTGCGGCGCTCACAGGAAAACTTGAAGTTCGGTAAGTTTGGTATTTCCTTTCCTTTCATCAGTATTTTCTCCAGTAAAACTTTCAATTGACTATAATTATGTATGAAACTATTTATATTGATTGGAATACTTATTAACATGATGAACGTTGACTGTTGACGCTGACTTGAAAATCAGGCTTGTTCTGGTACTGAAGCTATGGTTTGGAAAAGCTCAGGGGTTGTTTGAAGTATCTAATATAAGTAGTTACCAGCTTGAAATTTATTATTCTGAATGTGTTAACCTGTGCCTGAAAAAAATGCTCAGAAGGGTACCAGGCCTTTTCCTAGTGTCACCACTGTCAGATTACCAGACATATTCCCATTGGTAAATATGCTAATATTTTCCCAAAACAGTGACATATGTCCATGGTGCTGGGCAGTTGTCTGTTTTGTGTTTGTTAGCTCACCAGAACCGAAGGGTTTTTTTTAATTTGTATGCACCAGTGCATGTAACGCAAGTCACTGTAAATAATGAATTGTTTTCTCATTCTTTTATTGACATGTTTTGTTTTGCATAGACTGGTGGGTTGCCAGGGTTTGCTAGATGAAATCCCAGGTCGACGGAAGGATAGTTTGCAGATGTTGATGGCCAGTCCAGGGGAGAGTAAAAGTCTTCTTAGAAAATCTAAATCATACAATGTTAAAGAGGAATTATCAAGTAAGTTCTTTTATATCTAACATCTCTTTCTCTTTGTGATGTTTGTGATAGGATGTAAGATTTTCAATTTTGAAAATCCTGATTATTAGATTGGCAGCTGGTGGGACATTGGCTCGGTCATTAAGCGGGTGTTTTCCAGTTGATAACGAGAGTTTGGTCAAGCTTAGTTACATGTTGATATGAGTAAAATATCCAGGAACATTTGTTAAATACTGCAGCAGACTGAGCATTGACCCCCTAAGAAAATGATTGTATAATTTTTGCTATTGCAGATGAAGTAATGGCTGTGATAAAGCTAGATCATCAACAGGTTGTTCAAACATCGTGGAAAACTAACAGTCAGCAGTGCTGGGATCATAGAGCCAGTATAGATCTTGACAGGGTATGTATATAATTATGTATACTGATTGTTGTAAGTTTGAAGAAGTGAATTTTCTGTGAGAATTGTAATAAGAAATAGTGTTTAACTTTTTAGAGAGTGTATTAGATTAATTTATCATGTATTTGGTTTATACTGAATTTCTTTTAGTTCAATTATGTTTGAAACTATTGGCTTAAAGACACACTTTCAAATCCATTTCTGGAACCAACCAGTACTGAGCAATTAGTGTAAAGTTTCTTGCTCAATGAAACAACAACTTGCCGCTGACAGGGTTTGAACCACTAGTTACTAGACATGTTAACCACTCGGCCATGCCACCACTTCATATATTTGGCATCTTGTGTGTGGTCTTAAACTATGTGTATCAGGTTTATCACTTGCTGAAAGAAAATCAGGGATTATTGAACCTGTAAAGGCAGATTAAGCCTTGGAATTTTCAATAACAATGTCCTTTTACTTCTTGTAGAGAGGGCAAACATGTGCTAATAATGTATATTGAACATGTATGATTTTAATCACCTAGGAAAAAATAGTGCTTAATGTGAACTCACATGTGATATAGGTAGAAAATTGTAAACAAAGACGTATTTTGACTTCCATACAAAATACTAATTCACTTTACTTGTACTTATTGAGAAAAAAAAAGATGAAAGAAACAACTTTGCTATGTAATAAGAGATTTTTTTTTTTGAAAACAGCACACAAAAAATAAAAAGCTTTTGAAAATTAAAAATTTAAGCATAACAGTTTCAAGTATAGATATTTTTATCAATTGTAAAATTTTGTTTAACTTTCAACTTTGAAAAAGTTGCAGCATTTGTTTTTATACTTCAATAAAATTTCAGCATTCTTGCTTATTACCTATTAAGGTGTCATTTAACAGTGTTAATAATCATCTTATTTCTATTTATGATAAATCTATAATGATATAAAAGGTCATGTTGATTGGTTGTTACAGAGTCGAGAACTGGAAATAGCAATATTTTGGAAAGATTGGCGTCAGATGGCAGCTGTCAAGTTTTTACGACTTGAAGATTTCCTTGACAACCAGAGACATGGTATTGCTATTCATCTAGAACCTCAAGGCATCCTGTTTGCTGAGGTATAATGCTGTATTGTAATTCTACGTAATCTACCCTTTTATAGTGTTATTGTAACTTTGTTTGATATCTCAATTATAATTTATATCAAGCTGTTAGTCAAATAGAACAGCTCGAGGATGAGATACCTTTAACCTACTAAATGGATTTGCCCTGTTTTGAATTTGGAACAGTTCATTGAAAGTATAAGGGATTACATTGAAAGTATAACATCATAATGCAAAAATTTAGTTTCTGACAGTACAGAGGGTGGACATGAGTGCACAGATGTTCAACCTGGCATGGCTGGCACTATACTGGTACCAAAGACTACTCCTTCACTGAGATTGTTTTAAATTTGAGGCAATCTTTTTGGGGCTGGTTCACATACAAGAAAGAGTATTTTTGTATCTTTTTAGGCAGCCCAAGATGCATTTGAGACAGTCATCTTGGCGTCCAGCCACCTCCTGATGACCTAAGTATGTGTTGTGATATTTATATTAATATTTAGTCATGTATACCATTATATTTATAATGTTCTGTTTCAGATTACATTTTTAAACCCAACCTTGTCTAGAAAACCAAAGTTACAAAGACAAAGAAGAATCTTCCCTAAACATAAAGGTATGTTTGAATACACATTTACATGGTATATGTTAAATTTTAGTCATGTTAGATTACCATCTATATATCTTAACAGATGTTTTTAAGATACATTTAATTCCAGAAGATAGAGTAATACCAAATAGTTTATTACCAGCAGGCACAAAGAATATAAATTTAATTGTATATTTACCGACTGTCACTAACTGGCTTAATTTATCAGGGAAAAAACAAAGGAAAAGCTGAAGAAAAGAAAATCAGAGATAGGCTGTCTTTTAATGTTAAAAAATTACATAGTAAGGTAATTTGTTATTATCTCAGTAAGGAATTATTTATTGGCAATTTTATATTTTTCAGGGAAAAACTTCTTGCGTCCTGGTCAGATGAATATAAATGTAGCAACATGGGGTCGGTTAATGAAAAGAGCTATCCCTCCACAGTGTGCAGATCCTTCAAGTGCTTTCAGTCCACCAGCTGTTAATACTGGTATGTATATAAAACATGCATATTAATATGAGCCGCGTCATGACAAAACCAACATAATAGGTTTGCGACCAGCATGGATCCAGACCAGCCTGCACATCCGTGCTGTCTGATCAGGATCCATGCTGTTCCCTATCAGTTGTTTTAGGAATAGGGTGTTCATTGAATGTTGCCCTTGTTGATCTTTTATCTCATATTCTGTGGCAGGATGGGTAAAGTTTCTTCACACTTACTGCTAAGACTTGACGCACATTAAGAATGTAAAAGTCTTTCATTTGAGGAAGCTAGTGACCCCTTGAAAATGGAAGGTCATGAAATAAGTTTATGTGTGATTAAGCTTTTTACGTCATCACTTAAGATTAAAAGTTCATTTGTATATAACAGTTGTTGTTATTGATAGAAAAATGTTATTGATGTATCGTTGATATTTTTCTGTTGATCAATTATTGATACACATTTAAAAAAAATTACACATAATAGACTTATGTAGTAGCAGTAATGACAAAAAATGGTTAATTAACAAGACTTCATATTTGTATGAAGAGAACATGAATTTACTGAAATGACTTAATCAGTGAATTATTGACAAGAAAATTATAAGTAATTATCAATATATCAAGTAATTATAAGTAATTATCAATATATAGGTGTATTGTCAATACATCCAACGTTGATTTCTTTGCACTGAATCAATGATACCTCTAATAGTTACTGTATGAATACAAAAAGGAATGAGGTGTTAATCATTTAAATTTTCTATATTAACAGCTATGAGACCTGCTGTTCACCCGATACATTTTGAACCTGTCACGCCTGATGATAAACAGCTCAATAATCAACATCATTCCGAAACTCTTAACACTTCCAGATCGCCTGAAGGCCAGGAAAGAGATGTACAGGTATTGTCTTGACCTTTGGAATTTGTATTGACCTTTAACTTATGGACTTTGTACTATGGATTTGCCTAGCTTTGAAATTTTGGAACAGTGCATTTATAGTTAAGGGATTTGAGTATTTAATGCAGTCTTGTGAAAGTTTTGCTGATTTTGGTCATTTGCTACACATTTATATAGATAAAATAATCATTTATTTAAGAGGGAGGGACTTCAGCTTTTTTGAATAAATATCATATATGGTGAGCTGTAAATTTATGCTGGAATTTATAAAAGTGACTGACTAATGGAATATTTTAAAAGAATATTTGTTTAATAATTGGGTACTATAACATGTACTTACAACAATACAATAGTGTAACAAAAATATTGGATCATTTTAGTTAACTACTCTTATTATTGTTCATTCCGTTGACAACAAAAAAACAGTCATGTATCTGAAACTAAAGATATAGAAATTAAGTTCTTCTCTGTGAAACTTTAAAATTCTGAAAAAAGTCTAGTGAAGAAACTAGTAAAATGACAAAAACCTACGTAACCCTTTAGGATGGTCAAAATTATTAACATATTTACTTGAGATTGGTTTCTTTTTACCAAAGTTTTAAATTCTGAAGGAAAAAGTCTGGTAAAGAATCTCAATTAATTACAAAACCTATGTGACACTATAGGATGGTCAAAATTATTAACATATTAACTAGAGATTGGTTTGCTTTTATTTGCAGGAAGCATTAAAGTCGCTAGATTTTCTTGGTGAAGATTTGCCTGGTCATATGATAGATTTAGACTCACTACCTGCCAATAATGTGGGCTTGCGGACTCCCGCCTCACAGATACCCCCTGCCAACTATGCCAGTCCCCGAGCCCCATCACCCCCACCTCCTTTACCTACAGAAGCCCCGCCCAGTATTTACGATACACCAAGCAGACCATATGCACCAGTTGTTCAACTGTCACAACCAGAGTAAGTTCTTCTACTTTTGCTGGTTTTTAAAAGGAAGTCATTGTTTACAAGTTATTTGTTTTGAAAGGAAATTCCTTGTTTACAAGTTACTGTAATTAAATGGAATTCTTTGTTTCAAGTTATTTTGTTTTGAAAAAGTTTCATTAAGCTTTCACAGTAAAACGCTTATGTTTTTCACATGTTATTCGAGCTCATCAAATTTGGATTCATATTTCAATGTTATCTTTTCCAGTTTTACCGGTCAAGCTGTTAATATGACAGAGTTTCGACCCATTAGTGTTCTTGGTCGTGGCCATTTTGGAAAGGTAACTTTTCATTTCAATCTGTCAGTATTATATAGAAAGTAAAGGGCATTATCAATTTTCAGAAATGTAGTAATTTAATTGCTATTGTAAAATTAGTTTGTCCAATATTACCTGTAGTCATTAGCTGATCAAAAATCTTATTAATATGTAATTATATCATTTGTACATGCTAGAAATAGGAACTAAGTCCAGAAAACAAACTGGCAATAAAAGGTATTAAAAAAAAACACAAAAAAAAAAACGGTTTAGTCTATATATATTTATTTGAAACCAACTCATTACAAGTTATATTTATAATGCATTACAACTTTTATTGTCCCCCGCCTTTTCGAAGAAAAAAGGGGGATATAGAAATAGGCTCCGTCCGTCCGTCACACTTTCGTGTCCGGTCCATAACTTTGTCATTTATGAAAGGAATTTGAAATAACTTGGCACAAATGTTTATTATAATAAGACGATGTGTCATGCGCAACAACCAGACTCCTACCTCCAGGGTCAAGGTCGCACTTGCTCATTCAAGGTCAACATTGCCTATTTGAGGGTATATGTCGTGTCCGGGTCCATAACTTTCTTATCTATGAAGGGATTTTGTAAATACTTGCCATAATTGTTCACAATAATCAGACGATGTGTCATGCGCAAAAACCAGTCACCTACCTTCAAGGTCAAGGTCACACTTGGAGGTCAAATATTAACATAGTCTGTTACAGGATATATTTCGTGTCGGTCCATAACTTTGTCATTTATCAAAAGGAATTTGAAATAACTTGGCACAAATGTTTGTTGTAACAAGAGGATGTGTCATGCGCAACAACCAGACCCGTACCTTCAGGGTCAAGGTCGTACTTGCTCATTCAAGGTTAACATTGTCTATTTGAGGATATATGTCGTGTCCGGTCCATAACTTTCTTATCTATGAAGGGATTTTGTAAATACTTGCCATAATTGTTCACAATAATCAGACGATGTGTCATGCGGAAAAAGCAGTCACCTACCTTCAAGGTCAAGGTCACACTTGGAGGTCAAATATTAACATAGTCTGTTACAGGGTATATTTCGTGTCCGGTTTATAACTTGGTCATTTATCAAAGGAATTTGAGATAACTTTCGTGTCTGGTCCATAACTTTGTCATTTATGAAAGGAATTTGAAATAACTTGGCACAAATGTTTGTTATAATAAGAGGATGTGTCATGCGCAACAACCAGACCCCTACCTCCAGGGTCAAGGTCGTACTTGCTCATTCCAGGTCAACATTGTCTATTTGAGGGTATATGTCGTGTCCGGTCCATAACTTTCTTATCTATGAAGGGATTTTGTAAATACTTGCCATAATTGTTCACAACAATCAAATGATGTGTCATGCGCAAAAAATGGTCACCTACCTCCAAGGTCAAGGTCACACTTGGAGGTCAAATATTAACATAGTCTGTTACAGGGTATATTTCGTGTCCGGTTTATAACTTGGTCATTTATCAAAGGAATTTGAGATAACTTGGCACAAATGTTTGTTATAATAAGAGGATGTGTCATGCGCAACAACCAGACCCCTACCTCCAGGGTCAAGGTCGTACTTGCTCATTCCAGGTCAACATTGTCTATTTGAGGGTATATGTCGTGTCCGGTCCATAACTTTCTTATCTATGAAGGGATTTTGTAAATACTTGCCATAATTGTTCACAACAATCAAATGATGTGTCATGCGCAAAAAACGGTCACCTACCTCCAAGGTCAAGGTCACACTTGGAGGTCAAATACTTACATAGTCTGTTACAGGGTATATTTCGTGTCCGGTCCATAACTTTTTCATAGATCCAAGGATTTTGAAAATACTTCGCACAAAAAGTCACTATAATAAGAGGATGTGTCATGCGCAACACCTGCATCCCTACCTCCAAGGTCAAGGTCACACTTAGAGGTCAAAAATTAACATAGTCTGTTGTAGGGTATATTTTGTGTCAAATCTAGAACTTCTTCATAGTTTAAGGGATTTTGAAATAACTTGGCACAAATAGTCACCATAATAAAACAATATGTAAGGTACAACACCTGCACCCTACATCCAAGGTCAAGGTCACACTTAGAGGTCAAAGGTTAAACAGAGTCTGTTATTTGGTATATTTTTTTGTCCCGTCCATTACTTCTTCATAGATTAAGGATTTTGAAAATACTTGGGACAAATAGTCACAATGATTAGATGATATGTCATGCGTAACATCTGTGTCCCTACCTCCAAGGTCAAGGTCACACTTAGAGATCAAAGATTTACATAGTCTGTTATTATAAGGGTATATTTTTGTGTCCAATCTATAACTTCTTCATAGTTCAAGGGATTTTGAAAATACTTGCACAAAATAGTCTCAATAATAAGACGTTATGTCATGCACAACACGTGCTCTCTACCTCCAAGGTCAAGGTCACACTAAGAGGTCAAAGCTTTAACATGATAGATTTTTAAATTCCGTGTTTCATTTTATTTTTTTATCAAATTTATTGTTACATTTGCAGATCTAGCATTGATCATAATTTTGGAGTAAATGTCCTGAGATCCATTATAACCTCAATCTTTTGAAATAGCACAATTTTATGCTTCATATAAAACTTCCCGAGGCGGGAAACGTTGGTAACTCTGTTACAAATTCTTGTATTTATTTGAAACCAATGCATTACAACTTTTATATTATTTGAAACCAACGCATTACAACTTTTATATTTATTTGAAACCAATGCATTACAACTTTTATATTTATTTGAAACCAATGCATTACAACTTTTATATTTATTTGAAACCAACGCATTACAACTTTTATATTTCTTTGAAACCAACGCATTACAACTTTTATATTTATTTGAAACCAACGCATTACAACTTTTATATTTATTTTGAAACCAATGCATTACAACTTTTATATTTATTTGAAACCAACGCGTTACAACGTTTTTATATTTATTTGAAACCATCCGCATTACAAAACAACTTTTATATTTATTTGAAACCATCGCATTACAACTTCATTTGTAATGGACACTTTTTTGGGATTTTTTTAACTTTCAGGTCATATTATCTGAGTATAAAAATACAGGGGAATATTTTGCCTTAAAAGCATTAAAGAAAGGGGAGATAATTGCGAGAGATGAAGTGGAAAGTCTTATGTCAGAGAAGAGAATTTTTGAAGTGATTAATGCCATGAGACATCCATACCTCGTGAATTTGTTTGCTTGCTTCCAAACTCAGGTAAATATAACAGTGTTCTTAACACTGTCATATAACAAAAAAAACATTTCTGTTGATTTTCAGTTAAAGAATCCCGGAAGGGACTGTGGATTCTTTCATGTGAGGAAGGTATCCAGTTAGCTAACAGACAGTGGGTGGTTCTACTCAGCCTGAAATAATGCATGGAAGGGCACCTGAAGTCGCCATATGACCTATACTGTGTTGGTGCAGTGTAAAACCTAACCAACCAAACAAACAAATAAAGAAGCATACTCCAGATTAGTGAAATTTAAAAAAAAAATCATATTTTGAGAAATGTATAAATATCCGTAGTCCTTGTGAACTTTTAAATGTATTACGGTATATAAATGTATTACCAGTATATTAAAATATGACAGATTTTTTTTTCTATCACTAAAAATGCCATCCTTGATCTTTTGGGGGTATGAGGAATGCTTGCATATATTTTAACTAGTTAAAGGAATAAGTGGCTTCCTAGGTTAGGGTATATCTCCTTACATTTTTGTCATTTAAAAAAACAACAACCAATAACTTAACCCTTTCCCTGCTGAGTGGGTAGTCTTTGTTTGCCAGTATAGTCAGGCCATCGTTCATCATTCTTGTAGTCTGACTGGTCTTCACACTGTAGGCTGACCGCTTTAAAGTTTCATGTTGATACCCCAAAAATGTATAATGGAAAGTTCCTAAAATAGAAGATAAGTAAGTCCATCTAAGAAATAAAATATTATTATATTTAGCAGGTTCAAGAGTAAGTTTTCATGCACAAATCTGGATGCATGCTGCTTTAAATACAATTAACATAAAATACATGTTAATTTGAATATAAAAATCAATTCCAGTTTCAATTTAAAAATGTATGGTTTTATTTTTAAAAAAAAAAACAACGTTTTGATATTCAAAAGTCTTCATCAGGTATACTTTTTTACAGGAAATGACGGCAAGGACGATGATGTAAAAATGTAATATATAATTTGGCGTACAAATGAAATATACAATATGCATGAACATCTTTTGTTTATTTCAGGAGCATGTAATATTTGTGATGGAGTATGCATGTGGGGGAGATTTGATGATGCATATACACAATGACGTATTCACTGAACCACGTACAGTGTTTTATGCAGGCTGTGTTGTTCTAGGGTTGCAATATTTACATGAGCATAATGTTGTTTATAGGTATGTTAATTCATAAAAAAACTTTTTTATCCTCTATCTAACCTAATGATTGATTATTTTTCTCACTCACCTGGACACAGAAACTAGATCTACTTGCTACGCCCTTGTTTTGAAAAGCGGGGCGGGGCTTAGGCCGCAAAAAATTCTACTGATCAAGTTTATCAAAATTTGTGAAAAATTCAATGAAAATAAATTCATATGAGATCCCTCATAAAAAAGCAAGGTTATCATGATAAAACACATCAATATTAAAGTTGCAGAGTATCATAATATAATTGTTTATAAGCAATTCAGTCCATATTTAAATGGTTGCCAAAAAGCGTTTACCGTTTGAAAAGATTTTTCTACTTATTCGGTTATGTTGGCCGAATATTCAATTAAAATATATCAAAATGAGATTCGTCATCAAGAAGCATCGTTATCATAACAGAAAACATGGATGTTCTACATGAAAAGTGTCATAATATCTGATTTTACGAAGAATTTGCGATATTTTAAAGTGTGCTATTTTTAGTAACAAATCGATATTGGAAAGGGCGGACCTAGGTTGAGTAGGACTCATTGCAGTGTGAAAGTTAATATCAATCTATGTTGATTCCGTGGACAATTTAATATATTAGCTCACATATTTTTAATACATTTTGAACTTTTGACGTTTCATTTTTGTTAAAATAGAAGTGAATCGCGTATGTGTATGAATACGTTTTTAGAAGTGCTGCACGTTGAGTGTGAGATAAGCCCATGTGAGATAAGATTTTCCAACACCGCTATTTTTAGTAACATTTACGGATTTTTCTATCTGGTTAGTGAGAAAAAACATTGAAAGTTAAAGGAAAGTCTTTGTTTTGAACTGATTATATATGTTAATTTATGTAATACTAGTGCACCAAGTTAACAAGCGCGTACATTTTGGGATTAGAATTCTTTTAAGAGCAGTTTATTGTATCACATGCAGTTAGTTAAAAGGAAGCTTGTCGAAATTTATGAATCACCTGAAAAAAGCTGTAAAATTTTTTTTTAATTAAAAAAATATAATAATATATCGGGGTAAAAATCGAACTTAATATGGATTTTCAGTTTAATTTCGAGTATCTTTATTATTATTATTATTTACATCTTTTCTATTACTGTTTTAAGTGCTCAAGAATCTTGAATTTTATGTTATTATATTTTTTCACACCTCAGTGGAGTTCCTTTAAGAATAGAAAATATCAGTTTAACTCTATAGCAAGTTATAGATTGATATTTGTCCCTGAAAAATCTCGGCAAATAGCATTGGTTCATATTTATGATATCAAGTAACCTTTTAATCATCATATACACAACAATGTAATCAATGAGCAATGCATCTGTTTACAGAGATTTAAAGTTGGATAACTTACTGCTAGATTCAGAAGGTTATCTTAAAATTGCTGACTTCGGTCTATGTAAAGAAGGAATGGGATTTGGTGACCGAACCAGTACGTTCTGTGGAACACCGGAATTTCTTGCCCCGGAAGTGTTGACAGAACCATCATACACTAGAGCAGTTGATTGGTGGGGTCTTGGTGTACTTATATTTGAAATGCTTGTAGGAGAGGTTAGTATCTTGTTATCTAAAGATATAGTACTATGCTCATCTTTGGGTATAATTTATCATATGCTTATTAGTACTGGTGTCATTTGATTAAAATGAATTAAAAGTCTATCTTTGGAGGAAATCTGTAGTGGTCATGTAATATAAGAATTTACCTAAGCAGTCATTAAAACTTTGCCTTCATAAATACCTACTGTTACAAGAAGACAGAATGAGCAATATCGTCACAGGAAAAGTCCTGTTAAATTAAAGATGAGTTAAAGCGTCCTTCAGCTTTTATTTTCTGTTTAAATAACAATTTTGTGTTGTTTCAAACTAAGTATTTCAGTAATTTTATCTTGGAAAAGTTCATCATATCACTAATAAGCTGATTCTTCAAAACAACATTCTTAGAGCTATTTATAACACTGATGTTAAATTAGAAGATCGAGAAACAAACCATCTGCTTTACTTATTTTTATATTATGGTTCATGTATTTTATCATTGATTTAGTACATTTTCCACCTCAATTCTTTTGATTTGACAATTATATGAAATGATTTATCTATAAATAACATATTTAAACTTAAGAAAAGCTGAATGTCGCTTTAACCTGTTATTTCACTAAGGTGATGATATTTTGAATATTACTCACTGGACACATGATTTACTTACAGTCACCATTCCCTGGTGATGATGAGGAAGAAGTGTTTGATAGTATAGTAAATGAGGAGGTGAAATATCCACGATTCTTATCCACAGAGGCCATAGCTATAATGAGGAGGGTAAGTCTGTAATTCACTGGTTCTAGCACTGGTGTCACTTGATCTGAAGCTATCCAGCTAGCTTACGAAACGTTGGTGGTTCTACTCAGGTGCCTGTTCGTGCCTGAAATAATGCACGGAAGGACACCTGAGGTCTTCCTTCACCAGTAAAAGCTGGAATGTTGTGATATGACCTATACTGTGTCGATGTGATGTAAAACACAAACAAACAAACATGATCTGAAGTTCCAATAGTCATAACAGTAATGCGAAAAATCTTTTAAAAGCTATTACTTCTTGCTCATTAAGAAAAATTCAGGTTTTGCATAGGAAAATATATAATTTTTGGTCTGATTCGTTCATTTTCTTGTTTATTGTTTAAACACCAGATTTCATATTGTTTGAAAGTACATAATAGTAAGAATAACAGTACTGCATATATCACTCCTTGTTATACTGCATGTGTGTATGTTATGTTACTTTTCATTTGATAATTATGATTTTATATAGTTTTATATACACAGCCTCTGTCGAATTATGAAGAAATCTTACTTTAAAAAAAAAAAAAAAATAATACTTGCTGTATTATAAATTTGTTATAAATATTTATGACAGGTTAAATGGCCGTATATAAATGGTTGTTTGCAATATAACCAGAACTGCTAGGCAAGGGGTAAATTTCCAAACAACCGTTTATATCGAGCCATATAACCTGTAAAAAAATACAGATGTATTAATTATGATAATTATTATTCTAGTTGTTACGTCGTAACCCTGATAGAAGATTAGGATCCAGTGAGAGAGATGCTGAAGATGTTAAGAAACAAGCTTTCTTTAGGGTAACATCATTTTACATATTTACTTGTGACAAAGTAGCAAGATATGTGTAAACACTGTTTTATATTATTCATTAGTTTGTACCTATGAAGTCATTAGATAGAGGGTCCTGAAGAAAATAAGCATTTGTTCCAATTTGCTTTAAAGCAAGACAGGATTCCACCTACATGTAAATTAATAGGAATTTTTGTAAAATAAATGTACATTATTTTTTAGTCAGGATTATGGCATGCATAAATAGTTTCATAAATAAATCATACAAACAAATCAGAATAATTCCATTAAATATTGCTTTATTAAAGTGATTTTTTTTGTGTCGCCTTGAAAAAGGCGACATATAGGGATTACTTTTGTCGGCGGCGTCTGCGTCGTTGTCGGCGTCCCCTAAAGCTTGTCCGGAGCATAACTCAGTCATTTTAAGTTGGATTGACTTCAAACTTGGTATGCATGCTTCTTTAAATAACACAAAGTGCAGTGCACAAGAACCGATACTCTGCACTTTTTAATTTTTGAGTTATTACCCTTTGTAAATTTTCATACTTTAATTTTGTCCGGACCATTTCTCTTCAACTAAAAAAGCTATGGACTTGACACTTCATAGGATGATAGATCTCATTAAGAAGAAGTGCAGTGCACAAGAACCGGTACTCTGCACTTCCTAATTTTTGAGTTATTGCCCTTTGTTAATTTTCATACTTTATTTTTGTCCGGGCCATTTCTCCTAATGTATAAAAGCCATGGACTTGAAACTTCATAGGATGATAGATCTCATTAAGAAGAAGTGCAGTGCACAAGAACAGGTACTCTGCATTTCTTATTTTTTGAGTTATTGCCCTTTGTTAATTTTCATACTTTATTTTTGTCCGGACCATTTCTCCGAAAGTATATAAGCTATGGACTTGAAACTTCATATGATGATAGATCTCATTAAGAAGAAGTGCAGTGCATAAGAACCGGTACTCTGCATTTCTTATTTTTTGAGTTATTGCCCTTTGTTAATTTTCATACTTTATTTTTGTCCGGGCCATTTCTCCTAATGTGTAACAGCTATGGACTTGAAACTTCATAGGATGATAGATCTCATCAAGAAGAAGTGCAGTGCACAGGAACAGGTACTCTGCATTTCATATTTTTTGAGTTATTGCCCTTTGTTAATTTTCATACTTTATCTTTGTCCGGGCCATTCTTCAAAAGTATGAAAGCTATAGACATGAAACTTCTTAGGATGATAGATCTCATTAGGAAAAAGTGCAGTGTACAAGAACCGGTACTCTGCATTTGTTTTTTTGAGTTATTACCCTTAATATATTTTCATATTTTATTTTTGTCCAGGCCATTACTCATAAATTATAAAAGATATGGACTTGAAACTTCATAGAATGATAGATCTTATTGATTAGAAGTGCAATGCATAGAAACTGCTGCTCTGCGCTTATTATTTTTTTAGCTATTGCCCTTTGTTAGTTTTCGTATTTCATTTTTGTCCTGGCCATTTCTCCTAAACGATATTGTTCACAAGGCGACACATCCGACTCGCGGAGTTCTAGTATTAATTACAATTAGATTTATATGCACTTCTTTTATTACAGAATCTCGATTGGAATCAGTTGTTAATGAGGAAAGTAAAGGCACCATTTGTTCCCACTGTAGTTATTAATTACAATTAGATTTATATGCACTTCTTTTATTACAGAATCTCGATTGGAATCAGTTGTTAATGAGGAAAGTAAAGCCACCATTTGTTCCCACTGTAGTAAGTATTTTCTAAAATTATATTTCACAATTAATTGTCGTTTACTTCAAACCACTTGCCCATCACCGCTGTGGGTTCGAATCCCGACAGGGATTTTGGATTTTTGTGGAGAAGCTACCCAACAAGCTCACTGAACATCGGTGGTTCTACTCAGGTGCCCGTTCGTGCTTGAAATAATGCACAGAAGGGTGCCTGAGGTCTTCCTTTTACTAGCTTGTACATGAAAGTTGTGTCTGCCACTTTATGTGAGAAACTAGAGCTTTAAGTAGAGTACCATTTTCACAGCTTCATAGTATTGTTATCTTGTATATTTTCAGGGTCATTCAGAGGATGTCAGTAACTTTGATGATGAGTTTACTCAGGAAAAAGCTATATTAACACCAGCTAAAGATAGACGAAGTTTGAATCTGGAAGATCAAGAACTGTTCCGTGACTTTAATTACATTGCGGACTGGTGCTAGCCCATGGAATAAAATTTTGTTTTGAGATATCAAAAAGTTGTTCGGAGCAAGTTCCACAATTTTCCCTAGTTTTATACCAGTGTTGCGAAGATCGTTCTAGTTGTGTTTGTTGAATCAAGCGTAAAGAAATTGTATCAAGACATGTGCTGATATAATGTGTTGTAGGTGGAATATACAACTTCTAAAGGAAATTTAATAAGTTTAGTGCCAAGTCATAATGTATATGGTACAGAAGTTTCTATTTACGCAGGGTTTGATTTTGTTTCAATAAATTTTAAGAAAAATTTATATCGTAAGAAAATAACCACTTCCGTAAATTTCAAGGACGGCTAAAATAACTTTACATCTTAAAAAAACCGCTGTGTAATACCCAGTTGAATTTTTCTTCCAATGTATCTTGGCTTACTATGATTGGTTGGAAATTTTGAGACATCTAAATATACAATAAGCTGTTCAATGGAAAGTGTAAATGAAATCTTAAATGTGCCAATATTAATTGTACTTTCTTGGCATATACTGTTAATAAGTGTGGGCTGGAGAGGGTGAGAGACACTGACTTGCCAAAAAGTGCTAATACTGAAGTACATTTTGTGTCTTTTTTTCCTTTTTGGGGGGCAGAAAAATGCCAAAGAAAGAAAAATGAAATTAAAAGAAGCAGAGAAAAAAAAAAACGATAATGAGATTTTTCAGATATGATGGATTATGTTCATGAGATGGCTGTGCTTTATTGATTGGCTACTGTTTTAAAAGTGTCTTATCTATGCAACATCTGTGAATGCAGTAAAAGTGACCTGAAACATGTTTATGGCAATAATTTCTGTCTTTGTTTTTCTGATGTATATTAATGCTAGAGCTTTCTAGACTAGAATGGGTGAAGTGATGTAAAAAAATTAACTGCGGACAATTTTTGCCTTAATAGTCTTCCTGTGATGGTGAAGTGTTAACCCTAACTGAGATCAACTTCTGAGAAGATTGGTGAAATAACAAATTATGATCTGTTAAACCAGTAAAGTGGGGGGGGGGGGAGCATGTTTGTTTATAACTTTAAATGGATTGGTCTACAATGGGCATATTTTCCTTATATATATTAAGAAGAACAAAAGAAATCTATCATATAGATATTCTTATAAAATATTTCTAGAAAAAAATATGTCAATACTGTTTCAGAATGAAAATGTATATGATGACAAATAATATTCTGTTATGAAATAATTTACTAGTATTATCCGCTATGTATAGATATGTTATAAGGTATCCAAAAATATGTTCTTTCCAATAACATCCCAATATATATTTATATTCTTTCAAGGTTTACATATCAAGACCGCCTCCGTGGTCGAGAGGTTAGAGTCGATGACTTCTAATCCAGTTACCTCTCTGGGGTGGGTTCGATCCCCGGGAGATGCTTTGGTAGTTTAGCGCGGAGGAAGGTAGTCTTGTACTGGTGTAACTCTCCAGGAACGATGGTTAGGAAACTACCCGCCTATATGACTGAAATACTGTTGGAATAAGGCGTAAAATGAAACAAACAAACAAACAAATTTAATATCAATCGACAATTAAATGTAGTGTTACAGACCTTCCATTATTGACCAGTTCAGTTTAAGAAAAAAATTGCAAAAAATTTTGATGTTAACAGAACACTTGAGAAATGCAGTGTATTTTTTAATGTCAAGTTTGTTATGCTTACTGACTATAAGTCTTAAAGTGTAGATTTAAGCTAGGCCATAAGAATGATTATAAGGGGGTATTTTTGGTCGGATTCTCAATTAGGATCTTCCTAAGTTCATCAAAACTTTCATTAATAAAATCCTTCATTTAGCTATATCATGTGATGTTATGTTTATTAAATATCATAGTCCTGACATTTTGAACAGATTTGTTTTTGAAAAAAAAAACTTAGTTACACATGTGCATGACTGTTAAGGTATATGAAACAATTATAAAAATTGTGAAAGAAAACATTTTTTTATGCTTGTTTAAAGTAATCAAAAAAAGATTATTTTTTGGGTAAATATTTTTCTCCACAAATTTATGTAAACTTTAAGGAAAAGACTATTGCTAGCAATTTTTTTAAATGTAATCACCATCGGTGAAAAGATTCTTTTCAAATACTGAAATTTCCAACATTTGACCCTGGTCAAATGTACTCGTATAACTTGTTTAAATAGCATGTGGACCATGGTCAATTGGACTCAGATATCATGGTCAAATCAAATGTGTTTCAGGTAGAAGAGAGTATTGTTCAAACAGAAGAACTATTGGTATAAATTATGCCAATTTTATCATACATTTTAGTACTCTGTATGTTAATGAAGGGATTTTTGTGCCACTTTATAAAAGTGCTTGAAGTTTCCATTTTAGATAAATTTTCATATTTTTCTACATCTGCTATGTCATATATTTATATTCGTTCTATAAACCATTTGTTTGTTTTTATGTTACACAATCAGCATTTCATTTTTCCATGTTATTTTTGTATAAATTGTCAAAGTTTGTTTTTCTACATGGGCAAAACTCGTTATGTATATTGAGTAAGTGTTCTAACAGTAAAGAAAATTATAATTAGGTTGTTACTATGGCGTTACTGTGGGCATTAATGAATATTGCAAGGCAATAATCCTATTGCCTACGTATTGACAAAGAAAAAATATTTCAGTCTGTAATTGATAACATTTATTTAGCCTGCTGACCACAACTAATATACCCAAGTGACCAGTGCAGACCAAGATCAGCTTGTATATCTGTGCCGTCTGATCATGGTCTGCACTGTTCACTATTTAATAAAAAGTTATTTTGAAATTTTCCCTTAAAGTGATGAATATTTTTGTCCAGATTAAAAAATAGATATGTTGATTTAAGATATCAAGCGTTGTTAGGGTAACAAATTTGAATTTTTAATGTAAAAAGAAAAGATGATAAAAATTTGAAATTAAATGAAAGATAATACATGTAATATTAAGTTTTTATTGTTTTTTTTTCAATGGTGTTTCAAATGATGTCCTTGGGTTTGTAACCCTTAAACCCTGTTACAACTTGTGTTCGTACTGACAGAACTGAGCCACCTGTGTGAAGCCAATTACGGTAATCATGTACTTTACAGGAAAGATCTGAGGAGTCAAGTATTCTGACACAATATCAAGATTCAAACCAATGCTATTCACTACCTCTTGTAATATGATAATATTGATATTGTAAGATCAGTCTTGAGAGCTCTTTCTTAAGAAATACCAGCATCAATGTCCAGTTGTATGGGCTTATTTTGCCTTCTGACTCCAATCAATAAAAAAAAAAAAAAATTTAAATACTAAAAAATTAAAGAACCATCAATGAAATGCAGAAAAAAAAAATTAACATGAACATTATCACTGGCAAAACGTCTTATCAAGAACAAGTATAATTCTTGAAAAAATAATCTTTAAAAAAAATAATGACTTTTTCCTTTGCCTTTATAGAAGTATGTCTCTGGTACAATGTCTGGGTGTATTAAAACATTTTTTGTAACTTTCCGACATTGAATGAATAAATTTTGTGTAAATTTTTAGCTCACCTGTCACAAAGTGACAGGGTGAGCTTTTGTGATCGCTTTTCGTCCGGCGTCCGTCCGTCGTCCGTCCGTAAACTTTTGCTTTAAATGACATCTCCTCATAAACCACTGAGCCAATTTCATCCAAACTTCACAGGAATGTTCCTTTGGTGGTCACCTTTAAAAATTGTTCAAAGAATTTAATTCCATGCAGAACTCTGGTTGCCATGGCAACAGAAAGAAAAATCTTTAAATATCTTCTTTTAAACAACCCTAAGAGCTAGAGCTTAGATATTTGGCATGAAACATCTTCTAATGAGTGTCTACCAAGTTTGTTCAAATAAAAGCCCTGGGGTCAAAATTGGCCCCGCCCCCGGGGGGTCATTGATTTTCCCTATATGCATATAGTAAAAACTTAAAAGATCTTCTTTTAAAGAACTGTAAGAGCTAGAGCTAAGATTTTTGGCATGGAACATCTTCTAGTGAGTGTCTACCAAGTTTGTTCAAATAAAAGCCCTGGGGTCAAAATTGGCCCCGCCCGGGGGGTCATTGATTTTCCCTATATGCATATAGTAAACACTTAAAAAATCTTCCTTTAAAGAACTGTAAGAGCTAGAGCTTAGATATTTGGCATGAAACATCTTCTAGTGAATGTCTACCAAGTTTGTTCAAATAAAAGCCCTGGGGTCAAAATTGGCCCGCCCCAGGGGGTCATTGATTTTCCCTATATGCATAAAGTAAAAACTTAAAAAATCTTCTTTTAAAGAACCCAAAGAGCTAGAGCTTAGATATTTGGCATGAAACATCTTCTAGTGAATGTCTACCAAGTTTGTTCAAATAAAAGCCCTGGGGTCAAAATTGGCCCCGCCCTGGGGGGTAATTGATTTTCCCTATATGCATATAGTTTAAACTTAAAAAATCTTCTTTTAAAGAACCGTAAGAGCTAGAGCTTAGATATTTGGCATAAAACATCTTCTAGTAAATGTCTACCAAGTTTGTTCAAATAAAAGCCCTGGGGTCAAAATTGGCCCCGCCCCAGGGGGTCATTGATTTTCCCTATATGCATATAGTAAAAACTTAAAAAAATCTTCTTTTAAAGAACTGTAAGAGCTAAAGCTTATATATTTGGCATGAAACATCTTCTAGTGAATGTCTACCAAGTTTGTTCAAATAAATCCCCTGGGGTCCAAATTGGCCCCTCCCCAGGGGTCATTGATTTTCCTTATATGCATATAGTAAAAACTTATAAAATCTTCTTTTAAAGAACCCAAAGAGCTAGAGCTAAGATATTTAGCATGAGACATGTTCTAATGGGTGTCTACCAAGTATGTTCAAATAAAAAGCCCTGGGTCAAAACTGGCCCCGCCCCGGGGGTCATTGATTTTCCTTATATACATAGCAAAAACTTAAAAATCTTCTTTGAAAAAACCCAAATAACTAGAGTTTAGATATTAAGCATGAAACATCTTTAAGTAAATATCTACAAAGTTTGTTCAAATAAAAGCCCAGGGGTCAAAACTGGCCCTGCCCGAGGTGTGTCATTGTTTTTTACTCTATGTGTATAGTAAAAACTTAAAAAATCTTCTTTTAAAAAACCCAATGAGCTAGAACTTAGATGTTTTGCATGAAACATCTTCTTATGGGTGTCTACCAAGTCTGTTCAAATAAACAAATAAAAGCCCTTGGGTAAAAATTGGGCCCGGGGGGGGGGGCTATATACAGGTGAGCGACCTCAGGGCCATCATGGCCCTCTTGTTTAGTTTTAATTTTTTTTTAAAGTTTTCCTGGAGTCTGCACGATAAAATCGAGGGTGTAATAGAAATGTATATGTTTATGGTCACAATTTGTATACTCAATGAATTCAGAGCACCAGCTATGATAATGTTAAGGTTAAAACTTTTGTTATTTACATTGAAGACTTCCGGCTGGTTCTTTGGCCTAATCACTCGACTTTGTTCGTTATTTTATGTTTGTTATGTAATGTGAAAAAAATTTGATATTAAAACCATTCGATTGTTACTTTGTTAAGAATGGTAACATTGAACCTTTTTTTTTGTACTTGTTAGGTTTTCTTCTCACAGCCTCACTTCAGTGTTTTCACAAGTCTTCCAGATTTCAATTGGCACTGTTTTGTTGGGATTATTTTGAAATTTGAATGGTGTGGTTTTATTTTTCAATGTTTAGTGTCGTACGAAGGAAGTAGAATTGTTTATTGTTGAAGAAATACACATTGTAAATGTTAACCTTTTTTTGAATATTACTGCTTTTTACCAACTGGAACTATTTTTTCTATAATATTTTGTTATTGTTTCAAACATGCTTTACTTTTTAGTTATTTCTTTTCAGATGTAATATTACAATTAGAGTTCTTTTCTCTTCAATGGCTTTGCCCTGTGAAATAATATTTATCCATTTACCTGCTGAAACAGAAATTAATTGTTCTTTGCCATCAGTAAAGGGCCAGGTCAGCCTGTATATCCAAATGTGATTAGGCTCTATATTGACATACTTCAAATTTTCTTACTCAATAGCCCTAAAATTGATAATGGACAGGCCATAAAATGGAAGCTGGACAAGGCCATTTTAGAAATTCAGATGGTTAAGAAAAGAGATTTTAATTAACCCCAGTTATACCTTGTCAGAAATAAGCATTGCTTGCAGATTTGATCTTACATTTACTACATTTCTTTTATAAAAATCAAAAATGCATTTCACCAAACTCACATTTTTTTCTTTGTTATTTAAGATCCTAGAGCATTATGGGGTAAATTGGTTTAGTTTTTGTAGATTCTGTTAATGTGATTCGTTTCATTATTTCAGTTTACTTACATGGGTGGATGTAGAGATGAACAATATATATATAATTATACAAAAAATCCTGTATCCTGTCAATATATTTTTACTTTACTTTGTTGAAAAAAGTTGGCTTTTGAGTCTTAATGTATGCAATTAAGAAACAAACTTATGATCACATAAAAGTAAACAGAAAATGTTAAAAGCAGCATGCCTCCAGATTAATGCTAATTTTCATGAAAATTTTGAAAATGTATTAAAAGATTTAAGTATTGTGAAGTGAACAAGGAAAGTATTTTACACATTACAAACGCTGACCTTACAATCCATGTAAATTACAAAAGATGTCAAAATGGTAGAAATATGGTGATAAATACTGCAAAATCAGTTATTAATCACACATATCATGAAAATATTTTATTTGAATCTTTTTATCATAATACATTTTTCTAAAGTTTGATTTTGGCTCATCTGGAAGCATACTACTTTAATTGCCTGTATAAGCAGACACCAGAATATCCAATTTTACAATGATCATGCTTTTGTGTGCATTATACATACACCAGTACTAGTAGTCTTAATATTTTTAAAGAAAGCATTTTAAGGTCATTAAATTATAAGTTATTAAAATAAAAGAGGAAATTCATTGATGCGTTATTGATAAATTCACTTTATACAAACTGTACAAGATTCCTAAAAATGTCTTTTTCTTATAACATTATAATAATATTTAAGCTACACGTTTTGAGAAATCTTCGTAAAAAAAAAACCATTAAATTTTTAAGAAATTGAAGAATATTCCATTAACTTGTGCCTAACATACCTCTGTTCAAACGATGTTGTGAAAAACCAAATTTCTTTCAAATTGTACTGCTAGTATTTTTACCCTTTACCTGCTGAATAAAGAAGTGATCAGCATTTGCTGCCAGTATAGCGCCAGGCCAGCGTGCACATCTGTGCCATCTTACCAGCCACTATATTGCTGGTAGCTCAATTTTTGTGTTATTTTGATACTACTAAAGTCATATAAACTTTGAATGGACTGTTCCAATTTAAACCAGGGCAAATCCATTACACAGATACAGCAGGTTAGGAGTTCATAATGTTATGTCCGAATTTATATATTTACTGTTGTAATGATAACATAAAAATGTCTAGGTTACTTAATGTTATATGGTAGGAAGATCAAATTTTGATTCAAATTTAATACAACATACAAAGTTGCATGTCAAGTCTGTTTGTTAATATGAAATATGCTTAACTTGAGTTTTGCTGAATGTAACTTTCAATTTATCTTACATTGGTTATACTTTTAACTACATGTAATTATGAACTTTAATTATAAGACATTTGATAATGCAACTTTCAGCAGCAGTTTTTAACCTTGTATGCACTGTAATAATCACATGAAATAATACTGAATAGGAGCCCTCCGGTGTTAAATATGATTTAAATCCAGTCAACACATATAATTATACCTGTTAAAAATAGTTATATGAAGATTTTTGACCCAATCAAAACTAGTAGAAAACGTTTTTTTTATGAAGCATTGATTCCTAACTAGAAAGCATATTTTTAGCAACATGATCTGCCCATAAGGTGTTACCGAGTGAATATTCAGTACAAGATATGATTTAAATCATGTTGTTAAAATGATTGGTTTAACACAGTGCAATAAATTCTCAGTTTTGAACTTGTACAAGATCAATAATCATACTTTATTGAAACAGTACATTCTGAAGAGAGAAAAAAATTAAGAAAATAACTGAACAATGTTGTTTGTATTTTTAGGTAAAAAATGAAATATTACCAAATCAAAAGGACTTGTGTGGAATTCACAACCTATTAGATATGACCCGTCTCAGTTGCAGTAATTTGGCTATATTTCATACACAAAACCATCATCTCACCATTTTAGCCCATGACATTTTTTTGTCATTGAACAGGTTTATTGGTACTTATATTAAGTTTGAATGTATTCAACATAGACGTTGAGTGACTGTCACTGATTTACAATATAAAGAATTCTAAAAAAATATGATTTTGCAATTTTTACGAAAATTGTAAAAAATTGATTTTTAAGGTTAATACATGGTTAATTTGACTTGTTATTACTGGTAAATTGTTTTATGTAAAAATCACCTTGTGTTTCCATGGCAACACATGGCTGTGTTATGTGTATATTGATTTATGCTGCTCGGTATTGCATGTATATATATTATATAATGTTTTCATTGCGTAGATAATTTATTGCGCAACATCAGAGTATCCACATGTACAGAAGTAGACATTATTCATTTCTGTAAAAACTGAAAAAATAATAAAACATTAACAATTGCAATATTGACTCTTTTGTTTTGTTTATTTTATACGAGATTCAAATTGGCACATGATAAAATTACATCGATAACTGTACATCTATAATAAATAAAATACATATATGGCCACAATTTTCAGGCATGTATATAGTAAGTACAGGCTTCCACCTACTAGGTGTAATACTTTTTTTTACAGTGAAGCTGTAAAATGTTTTGGGGAATTTTCCAGCTCTATTGGTGAAGGAAGACCTCATGGCCCCTATGTGTATTATTTCAGTCAAAAGTTGGCATCAGAGAATTATGTAGAACCACCAGACAATGGTAAGCTAACTGGATAGCATGAAAAAATTTATAGTCCTTGGCTGGATTGTATAATGAAAAGAATGTATTATAACTGGAGTGACAATGAAAATGTATATACAATGTGTAGTGACAAAAAATCACACAATTTTAGATTTTCTTATTGAAGTCAAGATGAGCCTGTTTGGTATATTTTCAAAAAATAATACATGTTCCAGTGTTAATGTACCAGTGTTTACTATCATTTTTTGTTGCCAAATATTTTCCAACTGCTCCATATTTTTTATCCTAATGGTTTTTAATGAACATCTTCCAAACAAAAGCTAATACAAGTGCCTGTATTTTATGTATGCAAGTGTTCATATACTTCTATAGTCTAATATGATATTTTTAAAATACTTCATTTTTTTTTTTTGCTCCTTTAAGTTTCTGATGAAATTTTTTACAATGATTGAATCATAAAAATTCATTTATTACCTTTGAATATGGTGGCTAGTGAACCAAAATCAAGAATTCTTTAACTTGATCTGATCATTTTGACTAAAATAGTATTCTTAACTGAACTTACATTGAATTACATTTCAACAACAAATGAAAATAACATTTCTACTAATGTTGTTTTTCACATCGTGAAGAACAGAGACAACTATTTATAGTGTATATAAGAATATCACATTCACAACACAATTTGCATATAATACATAATTATATGTGTACAAAAAAATGTAAATAATGACAATTTTCTGTATAAAAGCACTTGGAATGAAAGCAAGCACAGCTTGACATCCAGTGTTTAGTATTTGATTTTCTTCATCATGAGTTATTTACAACGACAAATTATTCTAAGCTGGTTTCCGTCACGACCCGTTTGTGCTAGGACCATGTGCAGCTATAGGTGGAATCAGTATGGCACGAAGCTGGCTGTTAAGTTGGGCAACATCCTGGTCTTGCTTCTCATATACCTTTACTGCCTGAGTGAATCGTATAACCCCTGAAATATTGAAATAAACAGGTAAGTCACCAATACCATCGGCCAGCAGTATAGAGCCAGGCCAGATTTCCTGTCCCTGCAATTATTGAAGCATGATTAGATTGGCAGACAGGAGGTTTCATATACATATTTCAGATCAAAATCTAAGAAATATAATATTAATTATTGTAAATAATTAAAATTGTGAGTCTGAAATCCAGTGTTTACAATTTTATATAAATTGGCAGACTTGCAATTCAATTGCTACACTCGAATGATGCATTGAACATGCTATTAAGTTATATATTATTATTCTTTTTCTTTAAACTATACACTTCAAAATGTGCATCATTCCATCAGAATGAGAATGTATTAAATCTATCCTATGCATCAAAATTCTCACAAACCATCACCATCTGAAGGGAATCCATATTTTTCTATAACCTCCATCTGTATTTGTGAAGCTACAGGGAACACTGATTGCATTGCTCTTAACATGTCATTACCAGCATGGTCTCTGGCTTCATCCAGTCGCCTCACATTGCCTGGTTCCCGAAATGCAAAGAGAATTTCTTGCAATGCTCCTAAAATAACAAAAAAATGTTTATGACTTTTATGATTAGTCATTAAACAATAGAATAACTTGTGTTGAAGGTATTTTTAATATTCATAAGTATACTGAGTCTACTTACAGGGAATGGATGTTAAGGAAATAGGGCAATAGTTTCCAATCTTACAGGTTTTGTTCATAATTTGATGAAAAGGATCACAAGATACAGTGGCACATTCATGTAGAAATTTTGCCTGGAATTTTTATTAATGACCCATGTAAAAATATTTCTAGGTTTGCAATATTTTCCATAATTTTCAATTTCTTGAATCCTAATGTGAACATATCACAAACACACTTTAAATTTGTTTAATCCAAGTTTTAATGAAACTTTCATTATTTAGCTATCTTTTCTTCCTTCTTGAATTACTGTTATTCTTAATGCTACTATCCTATACACTGTAGTTTGAGTGAGTTTTTTTTTTTTAATAAAGTGTCATCAAAAGATAAAACTTCATAACAGGCCCATTCATTTTTGAGGAATTTGATCTCTTGTGGAAGAACCTACCATAGTTTAAAATGTTTAAAAGATGTACAATATCTAAGTGTTTATAATTTTTAAAAGATAATGAAATGTTACTTAACAATATTAAAATAAACATTATATGAAATTAGGCAAAGCCTATGAACGGGGAAGTCGTTAAAAAATTCCCTTCATTTTTCTGTTTTAAAGGTGTCATTCAGTATTTCATGCACCGCTTCTGTTTTCACTCAGAACACTCGACGATTATTATTAATCTGAAAAAGTTGAGATTTGTTCCGTTATGAAAATAAACCGCCTATTGTCGTTGAGTTACATTGTATTTGGCGGCACCTGACTATAACTGATACTGAAAATTTCATTGATAGGTATAGAATACTAGATATGTAGAATACACCTATATTTTTTAATTGTCTTATATTTGATTTTCTTTTAAATATACACGTGTAGTCTAAAGCCAAAGCCCGGGCCCACATACTTTGACTTCCCTGTATAAAAACTTAATTTGTTATTGAATTCTTAACTTTATAAAAAATATTGGATGAGTTGTGTCATACTGATTTTGGGGGCTTACAGACAACTCACCCCCCCAGACAATTCACCCTCAGCCATTTTTTCCAGACAATTCACCCACCAGACAGTTCAACCCACATTATTGGAAAAATGACACAGACAATTCACCCCCCATTTCTTTAATTTTAATTTTGATGAAATTTATCTTAAAATTAGAAGATGCATTAAACAAATGTGTTGTGTTTCTTTACATAATTAATATTTACAAAATATTTAGTCATATTTAAGTTAATTATTATAATTTATTACTTAAAAATAATATTTGTTACTATGCGTTAAAATTTTTACATATTATTTTACATACAAACTGTAAAAATTACAAATTCACCATAAATTTGTCTTAATTTGTTTAAGTGCTTTTGATGTTATTATAAGATGACATATCAAAGATATTAACATGTGATAATCATTTGCTCTTAAATCTCTTTCATTCTAACAACTCATTGGATGCTTATGACACATCATCTACAAAATAAATTTTGTGCACACGCGGCCAATTTAAATTTTTCTGAGAAGCTATTCAAGACATGCTGTCTTGTGAAATATGACATTTCGAGTGGATGTTTGTATACTTTTAATAGCCCTTTATCCCTTAACACTTTTTTTTTTTCAAGCAAGGTTGTTAAGTGCTTCTTGATGAAAGAGTGGATGTAGAATAAACAATATGCTTTTCAGCACTTTAAGATAATGGATAATTAAATTATTCCTGCAGACAGTTGTATATGTTTGCATTATATAGACAATAAAAATATCAAGACTATTAAATAAATGATAGATAATATGTTTATAAAAAGTGCATACATTATGGGCATTTCCCTCAATATAAACTATGTGCTATTTGATGTGATTGAATAAAATAATATAACATAACAAATTAATATATATCAAATTTTGAAACTTGACTTGCTTGTTTTCTTCTTCTTTTCTGTCCTGACCAAATATCCCCTAGGTTATTAAAAGAGCTCCATCAAGAGGTTACTCCCATACTGACCCACATCTTCCAGATTTCACTTAAAACAGGTATTGTCCCAGAAGACTGGAAGCATGCAATAATTGCCCCAGTTTACAAAAAAGGCCCAAAATGCAAACCCAGTAATTACAGACCAATCTCCCTCACATGCATAGCGTCCAAATTGATGGAGCACATCTTAGTGTCCAATATTATGTCTTTTTATGATAAACACAACATCCTTAGCCCCTATCAACATGGCTTCAGGTCAAAACGGAGTTGTGAGTCCCAGCTAGTAAGCTTCTCCCAGGAAATTCATGACAATCTTGAAAGTGGCCAACAAACTGAATGTCATAGTCATGGATTTCAGTAAGGCATTTGATAAGGTGGACCATCACAAACTTGTGAGTAAACTAGAAAGATTGGGTATAAGTTATGAGGTTACAAATTGGGTCCATTTCCTTCCTTAAGTCACGCTCCCAGCAAGTTGTAGTTGAAGGTCAAAAAATCAGGAATTCTACCAGTTCTCTCAGGTGTCCCCCAAGGCTCGGTATTAGGTCCCTGTTCTTTTCCTTTCTTACATAAATGACCTCCCAGATAGCGTCAAAGGTAAGGTTAGACTCTTTGCAGATGATACTGTTGTCTACCTAACCATCAGATCTAAACAAGATGCCAAAACCCTCCAAGATGACCTCCATGCATTAGAAAAAATGGGAAAAAGACTGGTCCATGGAATTCAACCCTGACAAATGTGAAGTTTCAGGATAACAAGAAAAAGAAACCCTGTAATATTTCCTTATACCCTCCATAACATCCAACTAAACTCAACTCAAGAAGCGAAATACTTAGGAGTCACTATTAGTCAAGACCTTTCATGGACCAAACATATAAACAAACATCACATCTAAAGCAAATAACTCCCTCAGATTCATTAGAAGAAATGTTAAAACTCCAAACAAAAAAGATAAAAAAACTGCATATAAGACCTATGTTAGACCTCAGGTTGAATATTGCTCCATAGTTTGGCATCTTGGCAGAAATACTTAATTTATAAGATAGAGCAAGTACAAAGATCAGGCTGCTAGATACATTTTTAATGATTATGACTATACAAGTAGTGTCTCAAAAATGATAAATGATCTTAATTGGCAAACCTTTAACAGCGTCGAAACATCAGTGCTGTAAACCTACCTGTATAAAATCCAAAACAATATTGTTTTTGTTGACCACCCCAACACCTTACTTCAAAACAAGAAATCTGAACTACCCTGATACCCTACTCGAGGACACAATATCATCAAAATTCTTTCTTTCCTAGGAGGCATAGCGTTCTTTGGGAATAGCCTTCCCCTTACTGTTCAGTCTAGCGCCCAGTTTAAACATCTTTACTGAGAGGCTTGACCCATTCTATAAATTCTAAACTGCACACACTATGTTTTTAAAGTAATAGTCTTGTAGAACTTTTATTCTTTTAACTTTTTAATTTGCATATAAACAAATTCTTTTATTAACAGTTCCCTGACAACGCGCCTGCTAGTCATAATCAGAATTGATTGTTAAGCAGTATGATGTAGATGTAGATGTAGATGTTTTCAACCCTTTTAATAGAGAAATAAATATTTTGTTGTAAATAGATAAATATACTTTTTTTATTTTTGTTACAATAAACACGAGGGGTGAATTGTCTTATCTATTTTGGGGGCTGAACTGTCTTGAGGGATGAGTTGTCTTGGTTTTTTGGGCGGTGAATCGTCTGGGGGGTGAGTTGTCAAACTTGTCTTGTTTCCATTTTGGGAGGGGGGTGTCTTGAGGGGTGAAGTGTTCAAAATAGAGCGGTGAAGTGTCTTTTTCCCGTATGTTCTACCTGTATCAAACTGTCCTACTGGCTACATGTTAACGGGTGTGATAATGTGGGTGTTATATCTGTGTCAAATGAAACCTATAGGCTATACAGTTATAAATCTCATGGAAACTGCAATATTTAATAATTGTAAAAAATTATGTTGTAATTTGTAAACAAATTTGTTGTTATTCTAAACCCGTTTTGTGTGGGAAATGAGCTATTAGTGGAATGTAATTATTAACAAGAGAAAAATCTTAGAAAAATGAAATAAACCTTTACAATCTTGTAGAGAAAAATGTTGCATGGAGGCCGCCATTACTAACGCTGATAAATTCCGTTCCTTTCCGTCCTTTCCGTGACAAATAACTCATAGACTGATACTTTAATTATAGATGGCTATTTTAATTCCTTTGCATGCGCTTTGGCAAAAGGTTTAAAATTGAAACATAATATCTCAACAGGATTTTTTGAGAGGCAGTCGTACAAACAAATGATTCGCATTTATTACTTTTTATTGGCGACGCCGGTGAGCGGCGTCGTCTATTATGGAACGCTTTTTATTTTTGCCTATGGAAGGAGCTGTTATTATTAGCAGTTAATTTCATGTTGTGTAAATTAGTTTTTTAGATGTTTAATTAGACAGAACATAGGATGGGATGGTATGGGACGGGACGGGACGGGACGGGACAGGACAGGTGGTTTAAATTCTTTCATGAAAAACATTTCATTTGAAGATAAATTAAAGCAACAAACCTTTAATTTATGCTAATTTTGATGAAAATTTTGAAACTGTATTATAACAAGTAAAATATTTTCAAGTGAAGCAAGTAAGTTTGCAGATTGCAAACAACACTTTCAATCCATGTAAATTACCAAAGAAATGTTAAAAATATGCAGGGCTCCCTTAATTGACAACTTTAGTCACACAGTGGAAGTGTATTGATAAAAAAATGCAAAATCGGTCATTCATTACATGTAAACATGTTAATTATAACTTGAATTTTAAAAATATTTGCTTTTCTTAAATCCTTAGTGCATTTTGTCATAAGGTGGATTTTATTGATTTTTAAGGCTCATTTGAAGGCATGCAACTTTAGTTTATCAGTACTTATTATTACTTATCTCATTTGTATAATTATATTTTTTATTTAACTTTCAAAGTTATATCTTATCGTTTTCTGGATACCGTCATCTAAACATTCAATAGGCATTGTGGGAACGGACGTGACGTCATTGCATCATTTGCATACTAATCGCCATTTTGGATTTTATATTAGCAGGGGCTAAGCTCTTGTATCCGCGAAATATCAAGGTCATCGGTGCCTTTTAAATCTAAATCCCCGTGATTTTATTGTCTTTATACTTTACCCATTGGAACGGACCGGTGTAAGTGTTAACTTTTGTTTGTTTTACGATGCAAATGAGCTTTGTTGTCAGCCTAGTTTTAGGTCGAAGAGTACAATTTTTTAGACGCTTTTCTCGTTCCAAGATAAAAATGGCGTCGTTTGTTAATAATACATGAATCCACTCTCTATCATTATTGCATTGCTTGGAACAAAATGAAGGAAACTGTATTTGATTTAATTATTTATTATAATGTAATGTTTGTAAATCTACAAACGTCAATAATCTATTTTGTTTGACAAAAGTTTAGCCGGTGCAGAAATTCTTGTTTAGACATTTATAAACGCCTTTTATTTGTGACCAGTTCCAATATGACATGTTTTTATTGTATGTCAAGGAGCCTATACTTTTAACTATTGACTATGTTTAGTCGTGAGCATGGATCACAAAATTCGGTACTGAAATTTTATATTTTGACTGAAGTAATTGATCATGCATTTATAAGTATTTTATTTGTTTTAGGGTAGCAAAAAAAGGCTTTTCAAAATCAAAAGAAATGTTTTTTTGTTATTTTTTCAGGTATAACGGTTCGTTCATGGGGATTGCAAAAAATATCTCTGTGTATACTTTAAAGTGTCCCCCTTTTCGGGTTTTGGGAATAAGGCCCCACAAAAAAAAGGAAAGTTCACATCTATCAACATAAACACAATATATAAAGGAAAGAGCGTTGAGCAGCAGAAGACACCAGGTACTTTTTTGTTTTATAACTGAAAAGTTTCGACCATTTTTAAATTTTGAAAAATTCAAGGATTTTGACATTAATACCAATTCTTTAAAGATTTACTTTCTGAAAGTGATTCTTTATTTTATTATTTCTTTAATGTAAATTTTAGACTTTTGAAAAAATTTAAAATTTTAAAAATCGGGTTGATACAATAATTGAATGAAAGCACCAGGTTGAATGAAAACATAAAGTGACTGATAGGTGTCAGAATATGCTGAATATTTTGATACCTTTATTTACTTTGAGAATAAATAACTTTATTTACTTTGAAAATAGATTTTAAAGTACTGCACAGTATCTAATTTAAATCAATAAATTGTACATAGATCAATTATTTTAAAGAGGGATTTTTTTTATTATTTCCAGTAACACGTCAACATGGTTTGCAAAGCTTGGGTAAAGTGGGCAGCGTCCGGCGCATGCCGCCTCCGGCCAATTTACCAAGTCTGAAAAGTGAGAATAGTGGGAACGATCCGAACATAACATTAGTTCCAACAGGGGGAGCAGGTTTGTACTGTTCAGTTTCACTTCAAAAAACAGAATAACAATACCCAACTTTTTATGTTTACGCCTTGGGGCATCAAGTGAAATAAAAGGTGAATCAAATGCAACCTTAAAATTTTTTTTAAAAATTTGTTGGACAATAGCTGAAGTACAGACTAGTAACTTACACTAAAATTCATTATATTCAGCCCTTGGTTTGATTTGGTATATTATAAGATAATCCCAAAAGCAGTTAAATAGAAATTTTAATATTATGCTGTAAGTACCCAGTCTTTATATATATGAAATATTATATTGGTTACATTTTGTATGAATTTTGGTATTCATTGAAGGATGGGGCAACAAGGAGAAAGAGGAGAAGGGAGGCAGTGGCAGTCCGCAGCCATCGTCGCAGCAGCAGCAGGTTACTACAGCGCAATCTCTGGGGCAAACAAGCAAGGTAATTGGCAAAATTGAAACTCTTCCTTAGCCCCTGACAGCTCATGTAAATGATTGACTTTGTGGAAGCATACTGCTGGCTACTTTTCCAGACTGAGACCACTGGTGACTTTCAAATCTTGAAACTGGCATAATTTAGTATTTAAAAAGCACTGAAAATCTGTTGTTTCTTAAGCTTCAGTATCCACACTTATGTGCAGTTTTTGTTTCACCAAAAATTGGAAATTGGCTGTAACTTCAACACACTGAGAGCATAATAGGTCACTGTAGTGGTTTTAAGGCCCATAACTCTTAATTGGATTTTGACAGAAAATGGCCCTTTTTGAATTCCAAAAAATTTGACGTCCAGACTGAGGCCAAGACTCTTGTTTTTA